GATCACCTTTGATTATAAGGTGAAAAAATACTACCCAGATCATTAACGGTATATAGAATGGTGACAAAGAAAAATGCAATGTAATGCACGTAATTTAACTGCACTCTATCACACCATTCGCAAAACGTTATATTATTGCGGTGCGTTTAAAAAATATACTAGTTGTGTGAAAGAGATATGCCTGCCGTTAAACGATCACTTCAAATTTATAGCTGGTGTGTAATTAATTTGTTTCTTTTGGAAAAGCTTTGAAATTATTTTTATTATTTAAATAAAATGTGCTGCTAATTATTATACCGAACAAAAGAATGTTATTTTGCTAATAAAACATTTCTGTCATTTGAGGTATATATTGAAAAAGGTATTATACCATTTAAGTTTTGCTCCGCTTGATATACTAACCATTGTTTGTTTCGGACTGCTCTTTAGTTCTGTTGTGTTCATTGACATATTTATATAACTCAGATCGGAGAGTACCCTATATAAGTATATATAAATATTGTCTAGCTTAAATATCTAATGTAATTAAAATGTTTAACCAAAACATTATTAGAAGACGACCTAGAGGCTAGAGTTAGAGGCTTTGTTGTTTTTTACCCCCTTTCACATTTAATATCTCCTTTTCCTTTCTCCCTCCTCTCACCCTTTCTCTCTCTATATCTTCCTTTGTGGTATATAATACACAGCAACCCAACAATCAAGAAGATCAGATCATGGTGGGGTTTTTTATTTTCTCCTTATCAAGAATCCTCTGATCAGTCAAATACCCATCAATCAATCAAATCCCCAAACACTCCCAAAAAAAGAAGATCAGCTTCCAACTTCAAAGCCTTTTTTCCTTCTTCTTACAAAAAAAATGTCTATGTCGTCTATGTCTTCTCCTTCCTCAGCTGTTTTTTCACCCGAGCCCATCTCTCCTTCCGAACAACTCTGCTATGTCCGATGTGACTTCTGTCAAACCATCCTTGCGGTAAATAATAATCACTCTTCTACACTTTCTCATTTTCTCTTCTTGTTATCCTCCTCTTGATCTATTTATAATTGGGGGCTTTTTCTTTTGCACTGTTTCTCTTGTTGTTTTATAGGTTAGTGTTCCTTACACAAGCTTGTTCAAGACCGTAACCGTCCGATGTGGTTGCTGTACCAATCTTCTTTCGGTGAACATGAGATCGCTTGTCCTCCCAGCTTCTAACCAGCTCCAGCTCCAGCTTGGTCCTCACTCTTACTTCAATACCCAGGATATTCTGGTAATTAACAGTGTTTAAATACATCATTTTATATATAGGATCTCTACTTTATATATATCTCAAGCCTCGATGATATTGAATGTCATTGCAGGAGGAGCTTAGAGATGCACCGTCAAACATGAATATGATGATGATGAATCAACATCCGAATATGAATGACATGCCATCTTTCATGGATCTTCATCAACAACATGAGATTCCGAAAGCACCACCCGTTAACCGCCGTAAGATACTATTTTTCTTCTCATTTTCTTTATTCTTTGTAGCTTCTTTGCTAATTGTGGTTATAAATTATAATTTGGCTGTGAATTCATTACGACATGCATAGCTTTTCTTGTTCAACCGTCACTGGATCTTGTTCAAACTTTAGCACCATTGAATTACGCATAGATAGAAAAGAGACATGAGAGATAGTTTTTGTATGTGTTAGTTGTCTATATATCTTGGATGGCTTTTCGCGTTTGTAAACATTAAAAGAGTGAAGATAAAAGAAAAGGGATCGAGATAGATTTAGGGATCCCCCGGAAATCTAGAGAGAAAGAATCTATGAAAGATGTTAGAAGATGGGTTTGTCTTTTGAAAAAAATGATGAAGTGATGATGGGTTAGAGAGAGAAAGTGTTTGTGATAGAGAGAGAAAAGACAATGAAAGTAGTTTTAATGAATGCTTGTCTCTTTCTGTCTGAGTTTTTGTTTTTTCGCTTTGTCTTTGCCGTTGAATGTTGCCATTGCCAGCTCCAGAGAAAAGACAGAGAGTCCCATCCGCATACAACCGATTCATCAAGTGAGTTTTATACTTTTATTCAATGTTTGTTATGCATATATACATCATTTAGTAACACAAATATTTAATTATTTGTCACGTCTTTCTTGTAGGGAGGAGATCCAACGTATCAAAGCTGGTAATCCTGATATAAGCCACAGAGAAGCCTTTAGTGCTGCTGCCAAGAATGTAAGAACCTTAAATAATTTCACATCCCAAAATAAAAATTAACTCGTTATCCACTGGTTAAATTAAATAATAACGTCCAAAAAGAGTTCAAATTCATTGGAATTATAGAAATTAAGCCATTGAAATTAACATCACAACAACTTGGTTTAGATTGCAGGCAGAAACTAGGGTTTAAATTCTCAATATATATATAGTTGCATGTGTACATATATATGGGTATAGATGTCAGGTTGGAGAAGAACATATATAGCTGAGATTAGGAGTAAAGAGTTTTGTCCGGTTATAACACAAGTTGATATGTGTCTTGTAACGTATGTTGTTTATGTGTAAATGTAGTGGGCCCACTTCCCCCACATACACTTCGGGCTCGTGCCAGACAATCAACCCGTGAAGAAAACCAACATGCCCCAACAGGTAAACCCTAATCTGTCGACATACCTTTCTATCTTTCAAATAATGTTACAAATATATAAATTCCTTTTTTCGTCACATGTACATAGAGAGTTCCATTTGATTTTGATCATATCTTGTAAAAATATAGGAGGGAGAGGATAACATGGTGATGAAAGAAGGGTTCTACGCTCCTGCGGCTAACGTTGGTGTGACTCCTTATTAAATCATATATATATAATAATCGACAAGTATTTGAGAAATTGAAATCCAGTTTATGATATGTCCAAAAGTTGGGTTTCCTTTTCTTTTTCTTTCTTGAACTTATATATATATTCGCATGCGTCTTCTTCTGTTGTTGTGATCAAAATCTTGCTAATTCATGGGGTTTAATTATGTTATTTTCTATCTATTTGTACTTCTATAATTAATTAATTTAGCACAATGTTTAATTTTGTTTTTTTTTATAACTCCAGGCAGAATTTTTAATTTATATATAGAAGTCAAAATTATCAGGCTTCTTGGAAATCAGCCCCAAGCAATTAGTGGGCTTGGAAATCCCTATCACCGACTATAAATCGGCCCGTTTGAAATCAGCCCATTAATACTGAGGCGTACTATATGTTATCAGGCCTATTAGAAATCAGCCCATTAATACTACTGAGGCCAACTATAAATCGGCCCGTTAATATTAGTGATGACTCCCCCCAAGCAATTAGTGGGCTTGGAAATCCCTATCACTGACTATAAATCGGCCCGTTAACCGAGTGGAGATAGATACCAATTTCTACATGTTGTACAAAATGACGTTTATACCCTCCAGCTTTCGACGCGTTATTAATGTGGTTCATATGTGTCTATGCTGAGTTGGAAAATAAGTAAACCAAAGAGAGAGGCATTGAAGCAAGAGCACGAACACTCGAGCGTATGTGAAATTTTTAATAAGTTTACAAAAGAAACAAGGTTCGAAATATAGAGAAATTACATTAAACGATTTCATTAACAAGTTCAAGCCTTACATCAAACCCATTTAATATGAAATAACAAAGGTTGGAGATTTTGCCTTTTTCCTCAAAACAACAATACAATAGAAATTAACAAAACAAAGCATACAAAGGAGATTTCTCTATTTAAAATCTCAAATCTTCAATCACATTGGAAGCCATAAGGAAGTTTCTTGCCACAATAGTTCAATAGCAAGCTCAGATCAACAGGGACATTGAGATTAATCCCCAAGACATTGGCTTTAAGTGCTGTGCAGAGACAAACCGCAGCTTCAAGATTAGCAAGACCATTGAGAAGTGCACAACAAGGAGTCTTTGGTGGAGAACCAGCAACAACGTTAACTAAGCCCAATAGGTCTGTGCAAACACCGAGCTTAAGCGTGTCGGTAGGACAAGTGGGCTTCACCGCTGGGTCCTTCTTTGGGGATGGGGTTTTTGGGGGTTTAGGAGTAGTTGGTGGACACTTTGTGGAGGTTACAAAAGTGAAGAAAAGAAGGTTAAGTGTGAGAAGAAGAGCCGTAACTGCAAGAGCCTTAGGAGCCATTGAAGAGTTTAAGGAATGTTTTGGGATGAATGTGAAGGAGAGATAGGACATGGTTTATATAGAAGAAGTTAGTGACTTTGTAATAGGAATATGCAAAAGATATGAGGTAAAAAGAAACATGTGATGTGGATGATTGTGGAGAAAATTTGAGTAAGAAACAAAACAATCCAGCTAGTTGGCTTTTGCAACTTGAGACCACCATGTAACTGATTTAGACTAATTTTGGTAAAAAGAAAAATAAATGTTGAAAAAAAGTAAAAGACAAGATGTTTTGTCTTGTTTGTTTGTTAGTGTAATTATGTAAGGGTTCCACAGTCTTTGTTTCGACATTGTTGAGCCAGAGTGTCTCTCTGTGTGGGTATGTATCAGTTTTAGCAATCCATTACACGTTCTTGATAAGATATTTATTTAACATTGCATTGGTCCCTATTCCTTTAGATTCTTTTATGCTCTCTTTCAGTATCAATAGATTTTCTTTATCCAAATACAACTGGAAAAGATATACCCAAAATCAAATTCACACCTGTCAAGATGTTTATAGCTCATCAAATCGGTTCGGTTTTGGATTGGTTTGATCTAGTTCATCCGGTTTTGTTTGATATCCAAAAATAGTTCACTTGACCACATCAAATGATACTACAAGTCTTAAAAAGATTCATCATTTTATAAACTCTGAGAGAAACTTAGATAAACGAAAGAAGAAATTTATTTCGATATTAGTCTATATTACATATTGACAAAGTGCAAGAAGACATAGTAATCACAAATTATTGAGAAGATATATGCTGAGAGAAGTATGTATATATACACAAATTGAAAGATGAGAGAAGCATTAATACGCAGCCGTTTCACAATTAGAAAGATTCAGGTTGAAGAAGCACCAAATGTGTTCTCGCCGCTGTAAGTGATGTAAAGGAAGCCATCGTCGTCTTTCTTCTCCTCGTAGACGCTTGACATAATCTCCCCTGTAGGAGGAAGAACATTGTCCACGAAAATGAAGATTGCTTTCTCTGCACTTAGTTTGATTCTCTTCCGAATCACATACACAAATTGTCCAACTGTTAAGTCTGATGGCACGAGGTATCTGCACATAAATCAATCAAAAACACTTGAGTTCCATTTACAAATCTTCAACACTGCAACATATATATAAGAAGTAGAGATGGAGAAAGGGTCATTACTTTTTCTTGTCAATGTTTGGGATTTCACTTTGCTCAGCCTTTTCCACAATCACCTGCAGCAAAAATTAACATGAATCTCATTTCTTGTGTAATCAATAAAATGCAAGACAGTGATCATAATCTTGAAGCAAAAACATTGAAGAGGAACATCTGATGAACAACATACAAACACATGAATCCCCCAACATTCCACCCTAATTGGTCCAATAGGATCAATCAACAATACAAACTAAACCACGAATTTTTACCAAAGATCAAATCTTAGATTCGTGTTCTTGTTCGTGAAACAATCTTAAAAGTAACAGAGCATACCGGGATTCTGTCAGGATATTTCTCTCTGATCCTTCCAGCTTCAGCTTTCCTCTTTTCTGCACATAAACCATCTCGAGAAATCAGAAACACACACACACAGACATAAACACCATTTACAACACAAGTGGATCACAAGATCGAATCGGTTAAAGAAAGACTAACCGAAATCGTTGTCCAGCTTAAAGCTGCTGCCTTTGTTCATCTTCACTCCTGAGAGAATCTATACGAAAAGAACGAGATTCACAAAACTCTAAATTTTCCTCGGACCCAAGTCTAAATTCCGCGGCTTTTCGAAAATATTCCCTTCTAAATTTGGAGAAATCAAACAAATCAAATCACAATTGAAAACTTACAGAGACGGAGTTGATGGAGTGGATAATGATAAAACTCTGGAAGATAAAGAAGAAGTCGACAAAGTCACAAACGAAACCTTTTTCTTTTTCTTTTTTCTTCCTTCTATGATTGGATAACGTTAACTGCGATTGTCACAAACTATTAATGCAACTAGACACGTCAGCTTAGCTTGTTCTCCAAACAAGATCATTCGCTTTATTCGTTTTTTTTCTCTTATTAGGCATATTCTTTTATTTTTAGTCCTTCACAAGCCTATTATAATGATTGATAATACTACTACTACGTAATATATATATAAATAATAACAAATACCAAATCTAATTTATTGTTCTTCTTCTTCAGACTTTTCTTTCTAGTGGATGGCACGTCTCAAATATTTGGCCTTTTCTCACCTCCTGCGTCACTATTTGCCTTGGTGATGAACTCGAACTCGAATACAATACGGATTTATTGTTTTGGGCAAGATCGGATAATACGGATTACTGAGCTTTCATGGCCCAAATTAAGTAGTAAGTGGGTCTATCGTTGTTTTAAGATAAATACAAGGTTTTGACAAGACAGAAAATACAAGAGGCCCATGTCCACTATAACTCCCCTGTCCGTTCACTCATTTGGAAAAACTGCATTTAGTTGTCTTCCAAAATAGATCTTATCGAGTTATTTGATCAATCAACTTCTATAATTTTGGCTGCTCAACCAACAAAATGTTGGTATTGTATATGTTTCTCACTAAGATATTTCATAACCTCTAAAATCTTTAGTAACAGAGATGTTTTTTTTTGGGTGGGTGGATAGATAGTAACAGAGATGTTAAAGGGACATAAATAGAACTATATTTGACAATTGACAACTATATCAGGAACACTTCGTCATTACCAAATGATTAATGGAGAATTGTGTGTAATAGTGCATCATCTAATTTTATATTTCAACTATCCCTAGATTTTAGCAATAATAATTAAGTTTTGATTACGTATTAATCGATGATTATCTTGTGTTGTTGTGTTGGTCGTTGTCTTAACAAAAGAGACCATTATTGTATTCCTGTATTTGTTATTTTTTGCCATAACATCGATGCAAATATGTATGGCCAATTAGTTTACTAAATTTTTTTTTTTACTAAACTTTATATACATTCAACTTGGTAACCATTTTCGATTACAAAAATCCTTACCTTGGAACTAAAAACGAAGAAAACAACAAACAAAGATTAGAGATTGGATTAAGGATGACTTGTTGAAAGTGTGTTTTGAAACATTAAAAACCATGTGGTGAGATATGAGTCCGGCGAGTGAAAATTTTGTTGCGTTCTTGATAAAAGGATCATATTCCATTACGAAAACTCAAACCACTACGGAATTTATATAATTAGATTAATTTCCATTATTGATATTTAAGAAGTGATGTATGTACACAAGTGCAAATTCCCCCAAGGTCTGTAGCCTGTGTTTGGAAAGATACATTATGAATTTAAATTTTAATATAATTTTCTATAAAATTATAGTATATAGTTTGAATATCTATACAAGTGGCACGTTAGTGGTGTCCCTTCTTTAGCTAGTCATCCACCCCTAAAGATTGAATAAGCAAGTTGGTAATTTGTATTCTAAAAATAACAAAAAAGACTCGGAAACTAATTTAATCTAAAAATAACTAATTTAATGCGATACACATTTTGTTTTAAGACAGAGTTACAATAGTGGTGGAAACTCACATGGAGGTTTGTGGTTTGTCTTGGGAAATAAACCATGTCTCTCATAATGACAATGCTCAATAATAATTTGTTTTTTTTAATTATGTGATATTTTCTCTGGTTCGAGAAATAAATTTATCGTTAACTTAATGCAACACTGCAACATAATAATATCATAATAAGCATGTCTACTTTACATTCATACACAAGCAACCAAAAATTTCAATCCTGTCTTGGAAATCCAGCTGCACATCTCCTTATTTGATTTTCATTTACTCTAGTTATTGTTTTTAATCACGTATACATATATATGACCACTTGATTTATTAATAATGTTATTATATTTGTTGTGTGCTACGGTTGTAATTGTATAGTGTTTTATAATGGAATAAACAATATGTTAGCGTGATCCATGTTATATCATCGAGGTGTTTCATTACCACGAATTTTCTTAGAAATTGTGAACAACATATTGGGACCGTGCGATTATATTGATTTATGTTGGCAAGAAAAAAAAATTGTTTTAATATGTTTGGTTTCCAATACAGTTGTTTAGTGTCTTGATATATTATAACTAATCTCAATACTTTATTACGTTTTTGCTCTGTACTTTCATCGATTATATAATTTTTTTTTTTGCATTATTATTAACGCTAGACAATATTGACAAAATAATGAACGACTTTAATAGTTAAATGGGTATGTTTAAAACAGTAGATTGAAGTTAGCATTGTCATTTTCATTGACCCGAACTAATGTACTACTATAAATTATAATTTTTAAATCATATAAATTGATATTTTGGTCATACAGTGAAACGCTAAACCTTTTTTTTTTGGTCATCTGAAACCGATAGTCCAAAGACGATACAACAAACGAGAGAACAAAAATCTACGAGTTTATCACAAAAAACCCAATATCACAAAACAACTAGGGTTACATAAACCGCTAAACCTTTGGTCGATATATTTGAACAAAGACCATTTTATGTTTTCACACAATACGGGTATTTCCTAAAAACCTTTAAAACATAAACACACACAAATCGATGATCACGAAAACTCTAAAAAAAAACTGATGATTACAGTACAATTAGTGAATAATTGTCAAAATGCGCATTCGTCATCAGAAAATGAATGGACATAAAGTCCTGATAAAATATGTTACTTATATAACTAACACATGTTATCATTAACAACTTTGAGTTCTTTACAAAAAGAAAAGATTTGAGTTTTTAAATCACGAGTTTATTAAACTTTAAAAGTAATCGGGCACCACCACCATCTTAGATTTTGTAGTTAAGATTTATTTTAAAAAAAAATAAACAATAGAAAAGAATAATAATACTAACGATTAACACAATTTAGAGCCACTGGATCTATAAGCTAGACAAAGAATCTCGGCCGTTGAAAGATCTTGTCTCGATGTTTTCAAAAAATCTTCAAAAAGCCACACAGAGAGACACTCAAATAGAGCACCGGTCCGTCAGATTCAGTTTCGAAAACAAGGCCCAAAGCCACCTGCCAGAGTTGTTTCCCGTTAAGTTACCATAATATCCCTCTCTCGTTTGCATTAGTCTTCCTCGAGTTTAGAAGGGTAAAACTGAGAATTCAGGTAGTAGTAATGAACCATCTGCGTCAGTTTCGTCTTTTTGCTCTGCTTCCTCGGCATATGTAAGATTTTTTTTTATTTAAAAACACTGTTTCAGTCTTTCAGATCAATGATTTAATTTACGCGCCACTTTTTTCATCATTTTTTTTTTGAAAAAGTATTTGATTACAAAAGTACGTAAAAATAAGAAAACATTTGAATCTTACTTATTAACACACATTATTGTAATTCATTTTTAGAACTGAGTGGTAGCCTTTTTCCCCTTCTGATTTTTGCCTTTCATTTGTATGTTGGAAAGATCACGTGGTTCGTTTAACATTCTTTAACTAAAAATCATGGTATATATATATATATAAAACCCGACTCAAAATAAAGTAGTTTACAAACTTTAAAACCCTACATTTATGCTTGGTACTTTGTTGTTAATTTTTTTGACAAGTAGGTAGAATTAGAGCCTATATATATTCGTTATAAAAATAAATACTAGGGCAACTAGATTTATATAATAGTAGTACTTCATTTTTCTCCGACGAGCCCACATAGGAGCCATTTTCAAGTGGCAGGCGTGATTTATATAATACTATAGAAGGCAACATTCTATAAAATAAAATTTGAAAGCTTATGGCCAAAACTCAAAGAGTAAGACAAATGTGGCGACAAACATAAAATAAAAAAGGCAAATGTATTAAGGAGAGTAGTGTCACGCGCTGTATTTGCGAAGAGACTCGACAACGATGGCACAAGAACACGGTACATATGTAGATAAGTACATCTACAGACAGAACACAAGCCACACATAGAGGAGGAGAAAGAAAAAAAAGAAAATTCCTTATTACAAAGAAAAAAAAAAAAGAGAAAAGATTGATGAGAGAGAGAGACGCAGACTGTAACAAGAGAGAGAAAGAGATGAAGAGCTTAGCATTGATGAAGACCACTTTTTATATATTGCACGCATCCATATAACAAGCATCAGAGAAAAAGAAAAGAAAAGTGATTTTAGGAAGAAAAAAAAAAAGAAAAGAGAAAGAAAAGTTGGGGCGCCAATTACAAGTTTTGAGCTTTGCATGTGTTTCTTTCTTCCGTACATTTAACCTCTGAAGTCTGAACACAACCTCTCTCTCTCTCTTCTTCTTCTTTTGTTGTCTTCCTGTTCTGAGATCTCTCTCTCTAGGGTTTTTTTCTTTCTTTCTTGTGAAGGTTTTTTTTTTAAACTGTGTTTGAGGCCATGCCCTTATCCTTTGAAAGATTTCAAGGGGAGGGGGTGTTTGGTGTTTCTTCTTTCTACACAGATCCTCAGAAAATCTGGTTTAATCAAGACAAAACCGGAATCGGAAGAGAAGCAGAAGAAGATCTTGGTTATGTTGTCGGTGGTGGTTTACCGGAGCCGACGTCTGTTCTTGACGCTTTAAGGAGTCCCAGTCCTCTTGCTTCTCACTCTTCAACCACCACCACGACGCTGTCTTCCTCTCACGGCGGTGGTGCCGTCACCGCCACCGCAACCGCCGGTGATGATAAATGTAGCCAAATGGGTTTGGATGATCTCGACGGAGTTCTCTCTGCTTCTTCTCCTGGTCAAGAACAGAGCATCTTGAGGCTAATCATGGACCCTGGTTCAGGATTCGGTGTTTTTGACCCGGGTTTCGGGTTCGGATCCGGGTCTGTCCCTGCGACTGATAGTGCGAATCCTTTGCTATCTTGTAGCTTCCCGTTTCAAGAGCAAACTCATCACCAGATTGCGAATCCAGAAGCGTTGATCAGTCCAGTTCAAAATCCCTGTTTGTTCTCTAATCCTCCGTCGTCTCCACCGGCGAAACGGTTTAACTCCGGATCTCATCAACCGGTTTTCCCCTTTTCGGATCCGGATCCGGGTCATGACCCATTTCTCGTTCGTCGCCAGCAACAGTTTCAGTTTCCGTTTCAGTTTCACCAGCAACAAATCCCGTCTTCTTCTTCGTCCGCGGCGGCTCTGGTTCCGCCGTCGGGAATGGCCGGCGATGACCAATCAGTCATCATCGAGCAGCTGTTCAACGCGGCGGAGCTAATCGGAACCACCGGAAACAACAACAACGGCGACCACACCGTTCTCGCGCAAGGGATATTGGCGCGGCTCAATCACCATCTCAACAGTAACTACAGCATCAACAACAAACCTCCGTTTCAAAGAGCGGCTTCTCACATCGCCGAAGCTCTCCTTTCACTCATCCACGACGCTTCACCACCGTTAATCACGCCGGAGAATCTGATTCTCCGAATCGCCGCCTACAGATCCTTCTCAGAAACCTCGCCGTTTCTCCAATTCGTCAATTTTACTGCCAATCAGTCGATTCTCGAGTCCTGCAACGACGAATTAGGATTTGATCGGATCCACATTATCGATTTCGATGTTGGATACGGGGGACAATGGTCGTCTCTGATGCAAGAACTCGCTTCCGGGGGAAGAAGAAGAAACAGAGCATCTCTCAAAATTACCGTCTTTGCTCCACCTCCTTCTACAGTCTCCGACGAATTCGAGCTCCGGTTCACAGAGGAAAATCTCAGAAGTTTCGCCGGAGAAGTCAAGATTCCGTTCGAAATCGAGCTGCTAAGCCTCGAGCTTCTTCTAAACCCAGCATACAGGCCCCTCTCTCTCCGTTCATCGGAAAAAGAAGCAATCGCAGTGAATCTCCCGATAAGCTCCGTCGTCTCCGGTTACCTTCCGTTAATCCTCCGTTTCCTCAAACAAATCTCTCCAAACGTCGTCGTATGCTCGGACAGAGGATGTGACCGGAACGACGCGCCGTTTCCAAATGCCGTGATCCACGCGCTTCAGTACCACACTGCTCTGCTCGAGTCTCTCGACGCTAATCAAAGCCAAGACGACTCGAGTATCGAGAGGTTTTGTGTGCAGCCTTCGATCTTGAAGTTGTTGATGAAACGACACCGTTGGATTGAAAGATCTCCGCCGTGGAGAAGCATGTTTACACAATGTGGGTTTTCTCCGGCGAGTTTAAGTCAGACGGCGGAGGCTCAGGCGGAGTGTTTGTTGCAGAGGAATCCGGTGAGAGGGTTTCACGTTGAGAAAAGACAGTCCTCACTTGTCATGTGTTGGCAAAGGAAAGAACTTGTTACCGTCTCTGCTTGGAAATGTTAGAAGAAGACCAATTCTCAGCTAACTTTTCTGTTTTTCTTTTGATGATCTTAATTTTCTCTTTTAAAATGTTGTTATGTTATTCAATGGTGTTCTTAGTTTCGACTGTGGTGCATTTTAAGGAAGTAAGGATATATAATCAAAATCTCCTTTTGTTAGATTTTATTTTGCTCTTTTTGAGTTTATGCATATATCAGTTATCCAACAAAAAAGAGATGTGGTCATTTCAAATCAGGTGAATTACATTTGTTTTTTAGGATATTCAGAGTCCACAGTTTGAGTTTATGTGTGTAATTTAGACATTCAATCTTGGTTTCGTTCTAGTTATTTACTTGAAATAGACTTTCTCTGTTTTAAGAACCTATTCTAGTGCTAAGGTCATACGTTATTACATATATATTGAAAAAGGTTATATATGTATATATACATAATATCTTAATAATAACGAATTAGTGAAATAGTCACGGTACATGCAAGATACTGTTGTAACACATTTCTATAGAATATTAAATTTTACAACCAAAAAGTAGAGCTAATTGGTTTTATCATTTGGTTTTTGGAGCTTCCAAGGTTGAATGTTTGTTTAAATCATCTCGGGTCCCTAACAATTTCTTTTAATTAATTTTTGGCCATGAAAAAGTTATTTTTCTGTCATAAAAAAGGTTAGGACTTTAATTTGCGTACACATTTGTTTATATATTAACGTAAGGACTAAATGTAGAGGCAGAGCCCTTAAATGTATTCTGAAGCTTTTAGCTTTAAAATATATACATGGTTCATTATTGTAATACGACTTTTGTTCGTGAAGTCACATGGTTTTAAAGTCATTGGTGCTTGATTTTTATATAATCACAGTTTTGGTTATAGAGCATTTTTATATGTTAACTAAATTGGACGGTCTTGATTTGCGACCAACCGCTTCATTAAACTAATATCGATACACAGTTTTATGACGTAGGTGTAGAATGATAATATAATCATGGCCTTAGTAGCTTAAAACGTTTAATTTTACAGGTTGGCTGGATTAAAAACTATAATGTGTTTATTAACCCTAAAAATCTCTAATGTATATTCTGTTATGTTAATATTCCACTTTCAGTTTGAGTGGAGAAATAATTTTACGAAACAAAAATTCAAATCCTGACAGACCTTTCGAAAGTCATATCTTAGTAATTTTTTTGTAAAAAAGCAAACATAAATGAAAAGAGAAACGAAATGAAAAGATTTTTTAATATTAAAAAAGTTGTGACACCTCTAGTAGAGCGGGTCGAGGTTTGCATGTTACTTTGTATGAAATGTTTTTGTTTTGGTTGCCTAATTTCGAAATTATCAGCTTTTGACAATATAAAAAGCATCAGCTTTACTTACAGCTTTAAAACTAAAGAGACATATACGTCATCCATAAGATATGAGAATTTAAACTAGAAATATAATAACGTTAATTTAACATGGAGCCAAACCGACAACAGACACTTTTGTCTCAATGACTGCCAAAAAAAGCTTCATAATTTTACTTTGGAAATTAATTAACAAACACCGGTTCATGCACACCTACGTGCTTACAAATATTACAACTATTGTTTTTTTAATTAAAAAAACCCTTTCTGAAATTTATAGAGTTTATAGCAATAACCATCTTAATTTGAATTTGCGTAGAAAATGATGAAAACTTCTAATGGGTTAGTCTTTGATTGTAAAGTGCTATGCTTGTAAAAGTGTATATGGTTTTTTTTTGTATGAATCCGTCATAAAAATCATCAAACAAATAATTTCAGATCAAATGATATTGTGAATGAAAACACTTAGAATTTCACATTAGGAATTGCCAAATTCATCAATTGTTTTTTTTTATCTAGTGGTTAACTGCAGATTAATCCACTTGATCCAAAACCAAGATCTGACCGAACCGATCTCGCGTATATAAGAATCGTATCCTCAACTAAACTACATTCGTAAAGGACTTTATCATAATTTGTAAATTTATTTTCTATAGATTTCTAAAAAATTAGTAGTTTTATAAAGATTTAAAGTAAATGTATGTGGTTAAAGTTTACCATTTTTTTGTAACTACATAAGAAAGGAATATATAACTTTGATAGATACAAAATCTTAGGCTGATGCTCTCTCCACCAATGTATTCGTCTTCCCAATCATTTCTTCTTTTTTCCTCCTCTTTATTTAATGGAGTAGTAGTATTGTTTTCTTTCGTTTTTGTAACAAAAAAAGAAGATTAATTTACCTTTTTTCACTCGATTTATAAAGTCTGCTTGGGAACAACGCATTCTCTATCAACCCCACATATCCTCTTTATAGCTTTCTTTTCTCGATACCTCTTTTTAGTTTCTATCCATTTTATAACAAAGGGGACAAATTGCTAAACATGAAACAACCAACAACAAAAATCAAACTCGATTTTTTTTTTTTTTTTTTTTTTTTTTTTTGCAGATTCAGTAATTGCATAAAACAAAAAAATAAATACGTGTGAGCAATTTGGATTCAGCAGCGTCAATGAAGTGGTGGTAGACCCATCACCATCAAAACAATTGCAATTCGGCGTTAATCATGTAATAATTTTAGGTGAGGTCAAACATTATTAGTTAGATCATTATTAAATTACTTCTCATTCAAAAAGAGTTCATCATAATTTATCTAAAATGAGTTTATTACATATTTAAACATGGAGTAATAAATTCGTATAATTATACCAAATTATACATCCCTAAAGACTGCCCTTTGGTGGCAACTCTAATGTCAAACATAAACCAAAACACAAACCGGTGGTTAAATCGAACCAAGAAGCAACGTCCCGGTCTCAATAAGATAATGACCGAGACTCTGCTTTTCACCTTCTACAAGTCTCTTCTGCATCTCCCAAATGGAAACAACACTGAACACCACACGTCACCATCTTCTTTGTAAGTTCTCTTGAAGCAATGGTGTTTGTTCATCAAACTCCGTAAAGTGTAAGAGATGTTTTGATGAAGGAGTAAGCTAATGCGCCCGTGAAAATGTAACTATCAACCCTGTCCAATATTCCACCTGCACCATGGAGAAGTCATTTAAGAGGAGGCGGGAAAGTTGAACGAATCGAGTGTGATCTATGTATCAGTATGTGACTTTACCATGTCCAGGGATGAGTGAACCAGAGTCTTTGACGCCAGCATCACGTTTGATCATTGATTCAGTAAGATCACCAAATACAGACCCAAAGAAGTTAAGGAACCCAAAAGCTATGGAGCTGAGGAAACAAAAGAGAGAGAGAGAACAAGAAAAAGGCTCATTCACAAGCAGAAGATGATAAAAAAACTGAGTTTTCGATATAGAAGGAGGATAAATCTGAGTACCTGAATAGAGATTGAGGCCAACACAGAGATTTGGAGAGAAGAATTGTGATGACAATACAACCAACAAGTCCAGCGAAAGTACCTTCCCAAGTCTTTTTGGGACTAATACTAGTAAGAGGCGTCCTACCAAAAGCCTGCACTTTCTCTATAGTTACATCAAAGCGGTTTCAGTTATACAACAAAAGCTTATCCGTTAGGCGTTGTACCTTGCCACCGAGAAAAGCAAACGTGTCCGTCGCAATCACACCGCTGAATGAAATCAACGTTGCCACAAGTCCAACTGTCCAGTGAGCTTGACCACCAAGCAGAATTGGCCATGTTCTTCCGATTCCTATAGTTAGAAGTGGTCAAAAGGACATATAAATGGAGGAGAAAGCCAAGAGGTTTCGTTTTGAGGTATAAAGGAGGAGAAAAGGCGAGAGCTTGCCAGTGTTAAGCGCAGGAGCAGCTAAACCACAACGAAGCTTAACCCAGAAACAAGGGAGATAGCCACAGTAAAACAACCCGAACATTGTACTACTCAGCTGAGCAAAACGAGGGTTTCCTCTCTGTACTAGCAAAGCCATTGCAACAACAAATGCTGCGCACGTCACCGATATATCAATGTTCCCAAAGTACCTTAAAAACATAAATTCCCATGAAATCTGATTAAGGGGGAGCAGTAAAAAACGAAGCTTTTTGAAGTTGTGTTTGAATGAAACTCACAGTGTAAGGATGGGCATAAGGGCACATATAACGGAGCAAACTCGAGATACATATAGTGGAGGAGGTGTCATTCCTTTGGCAATGCCTCTACTTCTAACGAGCTCGAAATATTCGCGAGAACCGATGAAAACAGAAGCTGCTAAGGCTACTGTGAAAGCCCATCCTCCAGCTAACACAACACCTCCAACAGGTAGTCCAATGCCAATACCAAAGATGACTCTTTTCTTAAACTGGCTTGCTTTCTTCTGAGTATCTTCCACATTTTGCAAGTCATGGGTTCCCTAAAACAAAAGACGGCCATTTGGCGAATCAACAAGGACTCACTGAATAACAGACAATGATCAATAAAACAAAATGAAGCATATTGCCATTCATAAACAGTAAACACTATGAAGCAATTTCTCAATTAAGCTCAAAATTGACTCTCTTTCTCACTCTCTCTCTCTCTCTCATTCGATGCCGACTTGTTTCTTCTACAGTTACAGATTCGAGGAGAAGGAACGATATAAAGTTATTACCTTTGAGTTGTCGTCACCAAGCTGGTCTGATTCAGCTCGAGCAACGGCCGTGGGGAGACGCCGTTGAAAAGAAATCCGACCAAGGCGGGAACGAAACAATGGTTTGACTTTGGCAACACGGACGAGTCGTAGACTCGAATATTCGGAGAAAGAGGGGAGAATTAGGGATTTACTAGTGGATATACGGCACGGGCATATACATGGGAGAGAAGTCGATTTAACCGGTGCAGGCTTATTGGGATTATACCTACAGACTTGAACAAGAGACGCCATTGCTTTCTCAGTGACACCAAATTAAAGCCCGAATTAAGGGAAAAGAAAAAAAAGTCTTAATTCTGAAACTCACAAGCTCTGTTCGAATCATGATGTCCGAGTGTGTGTGATTTGCTGAATTTCTCGGCGAGTTTTGTATTGTAGTAACAAGGAAGACGTACGAGGTAGAATTAGCGGTCGGATTAACCCTCCAAACGAGGTAGAGTCTTTATTTCCTCATCTGTTTTTATTATTCGATCGAAAGTATTTTTATTTCTAAAATTAAGGCAAACAAAGACGAGTCTTAAAGACGGAGAAAAGAAGAAGCTAGTGGAGGGGGAACACAAAGAAACAAAAGTTCTTTTGGATTACAAAAGTTGAAAAAAAAAAAAGAGGAAAAGGACTTGTGAAAATTCTAAGTCTTATGAAATACAATCCTCTAACGCACTAAGTTCAAGATTCAACCAAAGGTGAATGACGACGATACGACAAGAGAGAAGATGTCCTTCTGACACAACTTTGATTTTTTTTTTTGATTCTTTTCATATGCCTTCTGGGTTTTGCCGAAGCCACACTTTTGAGTCTTGTGAAATATTATGTATTCAACGTGATCATGTCCTCTTCATAATGTATCCCAGGATTAGACCGATTAGACCCACCAGAAGAACGTACATGAACGGGATTCCACCACCACTCTGACTTCTCTTGCTTTCACGCTTCAACTGCTCCTGTAATTTTCACACATTTTTTTTTTTATATCAGAGAGGTTCGTGTTTCGCCAAAAGGGAGCACGTAAACGAAGACTGTGGAATATACAGACATGATTGGGTAATTGCAAAGGTGAAGAAACTTAAACCAATTGGATTGCTCGATTCTTCAACTAGTGTAGAGCGATTCTTAAGCGATTTCATATCTCAAATGATGCAACAAGTAAAGGGCTCAATAAACAAATAAAACACACAACTTACTGTTCGGATATAGGCAATTAAAGGCCAATGCAAATGATGAACGAAAATCTTAGTACTAAGAGAAAAAACAAGAGAACGGCTGCTTCACAAAAACCAGGGAAGCTAGCTATGAAAGTGCTTATCAAAATTGCAGGGAGTAATAGTTCAAAAACTACAAAGATTAGTTGAAAGTTCCTTACCAATTCTTGTTGAAGTCTGTTGTTCAGTTGAACAGCAGAGTTCTTTTCCTCGGTGAGCCTTGTGATGAGAGCTTTGGCCTGAAGTCACACAAGCCGATAGACGTTAGACACTTCACTAAAGACCTTATAGAAAGATAATTCCATAGGTTTGGATGGTGAACTAATGTAGGTTGTTGCGTAATGGTAACAATACTCATGCAATTGTACTCTTTCTGATGCAAAGGTGGCTCAGCTTCATTAAAACAGCATATAAGAAATCAGAAAGCTTATTAAAATACCTCAAATGAGTTATCCTGAGGTTCAAGCCTGTCAACGCTAAATCTTGGAACCTACAATTAAACAAGAAAATAAAGAGAATCAACACAATTACCAAAGGAAACGCCTAACATAGGCCCCCTCCCCAAATTCTATTCATAGGTTCTATTTTCTTCGCTATTTAAGCTGAGGTCTATACTTACAGCCGTGAAATCAGAAGCATTCCCATTGTCTGAGACGGAAGCTCTCGGTGAAGATCCCTCTTCCGATCCTTCACGAACCGGTGATGGTGGTCGAGGTGGATCGACATAGACAACTCTCAGTTTAGTCTCCTCAACTCGATGCCCCGCCTCTTTGCTAAACTGCAGAGGTCATCAGAAAAATAAAAAAAACACTGTGTTTAAGTAACCAGACCCAATTTGCCAGAATACAAAAGGCTCAGAAATGATCAGAGCCATTGTTTGAAACCCATTACAACAGTATCAATACCATTTCAGGAGTAACTTCCCTGGCCGTGGCTCCGGGACTAGCCACTACACATTGAAGCAAGAACTTGTCCTTGCACTGCATATCAGCCGGAGCTTCCTTCTGCGCTTGCATGGTCACTAAAATTCAAGACAGTGATCGACAACAGTCAAGCTCACAATCCCAAAACTGGGTAAAATCTTCATCTGGCAATTTTGAATTAACAGAGAAAACGATCTATTACGAAGAGAAGAGTAAGAGACAAACCTAGAACTTCAGAAGATGATCTCGGAAGAACAACTCCAGTATTAGGCCTGACGCAATACTTCTTTGGATTCGTCGTTTTAACCTAGAAATTGACCATCCGTAAACCTAAGATACACAAAAAAAATCTCCCAAGATATAGAGAAAATCAAAACGATTCTCCAAGTAAATTCACCTTGAAGGCCACATAATTGTCGGTCTTGTTAGCCAAATACAGAGAACAAGAGATCTGTTTCTTCAATTCAACTACATCAAAATCAAACAATCAAACACAGCAAACTAATCGGAAAAAGGTAGATCTAGAAGAAGGAAGACATGCGAAAATCATTGAAAATTCAGATATATAAGCTTACATGGGAATTGAAGGTCGACAGGATCGATGTCGAGAAGCTCGTTACTCATTTTGATAAGATCGGCGGAGATTAACCGATTCTATCGAAAAACGGAATATCGTTCTCCGGTAGAGAGAGAGAGTCGTGGTGGTCGTCGTCGATCGAGAACGGAGATTCACGGGGAGAGAGAGAGAGATGGAGAGGACAAAGAGAAGAGACTTTTGCCGTCTTTTTTAAAGACTGGAGACGATATATGCCCTTCCTCTGACTCGAGACGCGTCACCACTTCAACGTATTATGAGGGGTATAATTGTCATTCTAAGGACTACGTCAGCGACTATACAGGGGTATAATTGTCATTTTACTCAAACGACCAAACTCATTTTTTCTAAAATTTGACCAGCGAAAACCAGGTGGAAAACCACACGATCCCTTTTAACTCATGTCAAAACGAAAAAAAGGAGATTCTCTGATATTTTTTACCAGGAGTAAAAATTGATTGAAGAAAAAGTGAGTGACAAAATCTTTTTTTTTTCAGATTAAATTTTTTTCAGTCTAGAGCACTTTCATATGCAAAAAAAGACGAGACAGTCGCAAAACGGTGAATAAAGGGTTCAATCAAATATTAATTTCAATATAAGCTTAGGACTAGTTCACATATAAAATGTTATTTGTGAAACAAGTAATAAGTGAGCGATGAATAATGTGTATGTGGTGTTTGCTTGGTTAATTGCACTGATAATTAAGTATTGTTGAGCGATGATCGATATTTATTTGTCCTAGCTGCTGCTTCCCACATACCAAACCAAAAGTTTAGATCATTTTAGATTTAAAAGCAGAAATAATTATTAAAACAATTAAAAACAAAAACATAAATAAATAAATTACCCAAGCTGCTGGTCATGAATGCATGCTTTCCGATAACCCGAATGTTTTTTGGCAATCATGAGATCTTTTCCCAAACCATCGGTCGCTTTCTCTAATCTCTTTTGATTATCTATTTGATGTTATTCTGGTTTTATTGAGGAATGATAAGATTAGGAAACTGATTCAGATATAGTACTCTAGTATAATTAGAGTACAAAATTGCTTACAAATTAAAAGTGCGTAAACAAAAAAAAATTACAAATATATTACGATAGTTTCATATATCATATATCAATACATTTGGTATTAAATTGAATATGACTTAGTAAAGAAATAATGTTTTGTTTTGACTTTTTGTTGTTTACATTTAGTATTGAATTGACTTAGTAAATAAAAAGAGTATATTGATTATCAAATACTGTTTTTTGTTTGCATATGGGCCGACCATGGACAGCCCAATTGGTCATGGTCCTCTTTTAGGTGTGGTCGTTTTGGACATGGTCTTCTTTTGGGTGCGGTCACTTTTGTCCAGAAAAATCAAATACCACCTGGACATACCCATTTGGGCTCGGGCCCAACCAATTGACAATATTACATATATGTATATTTCCGTACACGTTAATCTATATTTATCACTAAAAACACCTCCATTGGTATTTTTATGAGATTTTTAAGAAGTTTAAAAAAAAAAAAACAATTGAATAATGTGTAAAATTATTAAGGATCGATTCTTTCTTATTTAAGAATTTCAAAAAATTGTTAAAAACCCCATATGTCAGTCTATAGTTGGATCAACTCAATTTTAACAACTGTTGGGTTTTGTCTCGTTTGTTTTAAACTTGTAATGATTGTCAACTGATTTACCAGGAGAGGAATATATAAGCTCAAAAAAAAAAAAATTGAAAAAACACTCCTAAAGTTTGTATATCATATATTTGCTTTTTTGTTACCAGATGTCAAACACTCGATGCTTTTACCTAATTTTATCTTAGCGTCTTTGATCATTCTTTGTTTTTGTTTTTAACTCTATCAAACTATCATAGCTTATAGAAAATGGTGACATTTAATATGAACGATCATATTCTACGTTTAAATTGTATGTCTCAATCAATTTTGTTTTTGTTTTGTTTGTTAAATTAATATGCATTATATCAAAATCGGATACGAAAAATAACAGTGGTGTATGTATGAAAATAACAAAGTAATAATTTGAAAAACTGAAAAATTATTTACTAACACGTTGTTTTGAAATTTAAGTTGCCATTCGCACAGGTTAAAAAGAAAGCTTTTAGTTTTACTGGTAAAATACATTTTGTTTCGTTTAATAAATTATTTTTCTACATACTTAGCGTATATAGTTAAATTTCTCCATGTTTTGATGTTGTGCGCGCGCGTGTTGCCCCTTTTGATAGACGAATATTAGAGAGGATGTTCGTGTCAGTCAGCAAAGCAAATGTTAAAAATGGGCTCACAGTTTCAGACAAACAATAAACAGTCAGTGATAGCCCCAAAAAAAAAAAAACTAAATATTAATACTCTTGAAAATTTCCTAGCAAGGAGAAAGTAGCCTTGAATCACAACCTTTTCGTTCGTACGTCGTGGGTTAATGATACTTTGTAAACACTAAATCCAAGTGATTAGCCACCAAACGAACACATGGATTAATTTGTAAACACTAAATCATAGTGAGTAGCCACCAAACTTTGTAATAAGTTTGGTTGAACTATCACAACCACTTTAAATCACAACTTTGTTGATATCTATTGGGTGGTGATTACGAACATTGGTCACCGGGTTTGATTCCAATCATAAGTAGAGAATAAAGTATACGTGAAGAATAATTCTAAGTTGGTGGTAGCTCAAAACCGAAAGGCCAAATTTGATTCTACAGTGGAAATCATATATAGAAACTAGGAGCAGAAATAAAAGTTGATTTTTCCTTTTTAAATTTGACTTTTTTTTTCTTCTAATAGTAGGCGAAAGAGATAGCTAAGCAGTGGGCACTCTTAGTTCGATAGCTTCTAAAATTGTATAGTAATACCTAAATTGCCAGGAAAACAAATAAATGAATAATTCAATTACCTAAAAAAAGTGAAAACCCTTATAAGAGAAACTTCACAATTCTTATATTTTCAGTTAATGAAAATTCAATGGTCTCTGATTTAGGCCAACACGACGTGAGGCTAGTAGTAAAAGACTTGGCGTTAGAACATGTAAAAGTAGCCTCCTTTGCATTTAAAATAATAATGAACCCAAAAAAAAAAACATTAAATTGATTTAGAGTTCGACGAACAAAAAAAGAATAATGATAAACCGAAATGATTTTAAGTTTTTGACAACCAGAATCACGCAAAGCCTGTTACCTTTCGTTTTCACCACTCATCGAACACTACAGAGTTATCGTCGTCTTCGTTGGGTGCAGGAAGATTAAGATCTATCATCCTCTGTTTCACTGATACTTCTTCTTCTTTATCGATTCGAACAATTTGATTTACAGACAACCCTCTTCTTGATCCGATGTTACTGCTTCCGTGAGATCTCTTATGACCTCCAAGTGCTTGTCCTGAAGTGAAAACTCTAAAACAGATCGGACATTGGTGAATTTTCTTCTCCGCGACTCCATTCTTGTACTCTGTTTTCGTCGACGTCATTGTTGTGCAAGTCTTGTTCTTCTTGTGGCTTGCTCTATGCCCTCCTAGTGCTTGATACGATTTAAACACTTTACCACAAGTCTCGCACTTGAATCTCCCTCTTCCTCCTCTGTTCTTGCTCCATTTGTAATCTTCACACTCATGATCTGTCTCATCTTCTTCTTCCACCGTTTGCTTTGACATTGTCTTGTTCTTCTTCTGTTGCTTCCATTTGTCTCTCGAGAGCATAATGAGACAAAAGGCCAGATCTTCCTCCGTCGTTGTGTCTGAAGCTGAGCTGTGATGCTCTGGCTCGGTCACTGACTCACCGGGTTGGCTCGTTTGCAGCTTCTTAAAGTCGAAGTCGAACGATCCAAGTTTCCGAGTTCGCTTGGATCGTTTCCGAGTTGGATTGATCCTCGATGACTCGGTTTCGCTTTCAACGTCGTCTTCGGCGAATTCAAACTTCATTTCTTCATCATCAACCGTATGAAGACGATCCAGCTTTGGATTATCAAACTCACCGCAATTTCCATGATCTTCTTCTTCCTCATCAGGCGAAGAAGAAGCATCTGACTCGGTATCGTCGTCACTGAGTTGACTCGGCCTTTCCTCTTCTTCTCCTTCTTCTTCACCAGTTAATTCATAAAGCTCACGTTTGGCAGATAGACTAAGCATGTGAGATCTCATGTGACCACCTAAAGCTCTTCCATTGATGAAGCTCTTGAAGCAAAATCTACACTTGTATCTCTCCATTTTCAACACCAAATCACAGGAAGAGAGAGAGAGAGAGAAAAAGAGCTAGTTTTTTGGGATTAATTCTCTCAAAGAAGAGAGAAGAAGAAGTAGAGAAACTACAAAAGGAGAGTAGGTGACAAAAGCATTCTTCTTCTGCAACCAACGAACTAAAGAAGAAGACGAAGAGAAAGAAGAAAAGAATTAAGCTGAAAATTTATTTATTTTAACTTCCCCTTCTACTCTCATCCTATATTTATAAATTTCTCTAGTTAATTCGATCTTGAAACGGAAAAAAGGAAGAGTAAATTTTTGTTATTCTGAATAATCTAATTAAAGCGTTTGCCATGAAATAGTGAAAGGACAATGTAACATGCGAGCTTTGCCCGTTTCTGCAAGAAAAAAAAAAAAAATCTTCTCTGAATTTCCCAAAATACCCTTCACACCAATCGGATTAAAAATAGGAAAATTTCTATTTTAACACACCGAAATCTCAGACGCAACGCGGCTTAGTTGTCTATTTTCGGCGCAACTTTGATTTCAATGGGCCAAAATTAATTAATTAACTTACGCTCCACTTAGGGTACTTTCGGTATTTTACATCACACGAGAGCCTTTTTGTTGTTGTAACGAGTCGGACCAGAACAAAGCGTTGTCCAAAAATGAGGGGGAAGAATGTTAACATTTTATGGCTGTCAGTTTGTGACAGCCACGTATTATCTCAAACGACGGTTTCACAACTTATCCTCACCCACCAGTAACTTTAATTTCTCTAATGTGATAAATTCAAAGTAATTAATTAGTTTAATTTTCAGATTCTGCGTGCCCTCTCCTTTTGATCTCCTAGCAAGTTAAAGCCAGCAGGATTCTGATACCAACTTAATCTACTAATAATCTTAATTATAAATTCCACTAATCACTCTAATTAATACGATTAGGAATGCAGAAATAGTGAAAATTATAGGATTTCTCCTTTGATTTTGGATCTTCCAAGTTGGAAAATAATGAGAAAAAGTCAAGACACCATAATTTTCGTTTATCAATAACACTCCCACACGTTCTTGTTCAACAAAAAACAAATACCAACTAAAGTCTCTATTTAGATTAAACTTAAACTTAATCTGAAGATAAAACAGATTAGATAAGACAATAGATGTGAGCTAAATTGTTTTTGTCAAAGTATGTATATATATGCATACTAATACGATTAACCAAAAAGATAAACAATATTAAGCTACAAACGCATTTAACTTTGGACCCACTAAATTTGATGCCTTTGGTGTAATACAAACCTAACCATCTCACTTTTTTTTCCTAGTAACAATGTACTAAACGTGATCAACGACCAACACAGCGATCATGTGATCTTTTTCAATTCATTAAACTGATCGTTCGGAGATTAAATCATCCATAAGTGCAAAAACTTGTACAATTAGGAGTTGAAGTCTTGCTTGTTACAACAGTTAAGTGTGATAAATTAAGAGTTCAACGTTCCACAACTTGTCGGTTAGAAAAATAAATTAATCTACTCAAAGAACTCACTTAGCAAGGTAATTTAAAGGCCTTTTTAAATGAAATCCTTTTAATTCAACTTTGTGGAAGCAGTTCGTATACGCAAAGTGTAAAGTTGCGATTCTTCTTCAATGGGCATGACTTAACGGTGGTGCCAAACCACTTACGCCACTCTCTCTCTTAAAATGAAAACCTCATCACCCCCTTTAATCTCTCCGTTGACTTGTCTCGTTAGAACTTCAAATTAATATTTCATTATTAATAAAGTATACGAGTAAGCAGAGTATTTGTTACTTATTAGTTATTATCAGTATATAACATTGGGTTCTTAGATGGTAATAGCCTTTTTCTACATATATAAGACTGGTCGATGAATGAATTGAAGTAGCAATACTTTTGACTAAGTTTAGTCAACTCTTAGGAGGCGTGAAATTTACAGAAAATATAATATAGATTAATTGGGCTCATATTGGTAAAACAAAATATTTTCTTATTCGTTATTTTTATGTATAAGTTATTTTTCTGAATAGTTGAATGAGTGAAGAAACGAGTCAGTTACAAACAAAACAGATTTCTATTTTTTAAAGTTACATGTGGAGCGTTAAGTATCACCCGGCTCTCTAATTTGACAAAAAAACGGAAATGATATTATTATTAGTTCATGGTTAATCAATGAAAAAAAAACTAAAGTTTGCTAAACAAATTTATTTTAACTCAAGAGAGTGTTTCAGTATATTCATCGACTAAATAATGTAAAGGATTATCAAAAACTTGACCCAAACAACGCTCAAAAGACTCTTTTAGAGCCATTCTCATATGGTGGGATGCTTCTCAGAGATGTAAACCTACCGGACACAACACAGATACTTACCGTAAGGCTTAAGCTAACAAATTCCAAAGAAAATTACAACACCGTATATAAAGCGGTGCTTTTACATACCTTTTAGGAATGAATTTTACATATCTTCCTCATACATCAATTCATATGAGGCTGATCTGAAGTTGAATCATCACCCCATGAAAGGTATACATTCGGCTCTTCTTCAGGCCTATCAAGGCTTGATCAACCCCTTCCGGATTGCTTTAACGTACTTAAGAACCATTTTAGCCTCCCATTTTGAAGGGATGAACCTTCGCTTGGGTTCTAGTGCACTTGAGAGTGGATGTATTGCATCATCCCATTTGAACCAATCAACATAAAGCTGGCATCAAGAGAATCAATCAAACGGGCACATTTAGAAGAGATTTGTATAATAATATATTAGTAGAAAACGGCTACACATAAACCACATTACGTACCGGATATGTATCAAAGTCAGCATGTGGGGCTTCCCCTTTGAGGATTCTACGAACGAGCTTTCTCTCCTCTTTAGTCATCTCCACTTCCTCGTCATTATATTCATCATTAATCTTGCGCCTAAAGCCCCACAAATTGCATCACCATAGTACTACTAAATAACAAACTATATATATATACAAAATAAGCAGAAAAGTCTTTGAAACTGACCAATTCTTGGAGTCATCCATATTTGCAAGAAAAGAGTCAAGCTTGTATCGCTTTTCTTTCTTGGTAATCTTCTTCCTTATACCACTCCAAGATAACATCCCCAAATGTATTTCTTGGAGAAACCTACGTAGACGTTAAAGCTAGATAAATATATACTTTCATTTGAAAAAGGAGAAAGACAGTTTCAGATTCTATAATATGATTAGATAAAGCAACGACCTCATCTTCTAAAGAATCGCTCTCTTCGGCGACTTCATGTTGCTCAGAACCTTCGTCACTCCCATCTTCCTCATCGTCTAGTTGTTCTCTTTTATCACCATCACCATCATTATCATGCATAATACACGAAAATAAAAAGCTCCAAGCTGTGAAAACAAAAGAGAAGGCGCAAGGAAAAGAGAATACATATCCGTCCTTTACTGCTGGTTTCTCTTTCTCAGATTTTACAGAGACTCTTTCGCTCTCTGTGTCTCTCATTATACCCTCGTTAGCTTCTTCGCCTATCATCATCTGTGCGATCAGAAGCTAGGGTTGGACTAAGAAGATGCGCGCGGAAGAAGAAAAGATTTAGGTTTAGGCGAAAGACGGCGAATTCTTTTTCTTTAACTCTCAGGGCCCATTAACATTATACAGGCCCATACAAAAAAGAAATCTGTCTTTAACTCTCAGGGCCCATTAACATTATACAGGCCCATAAGAGTCTGGAAGCATTACGATTTTAGCCTAAACCCTAAATCTTTTCTTCTTCCTCGCATCTTTAAAAACGAGTTTGTTTTTCAGTGTAAACCTCGCCTCTCGCCTCTCATGGCACCGACGAAGAAGGGCGAAGCAGCTCGAGAAACAAAGAGGAAGAGAGGCTCTGTGAATTCTCAGAAACCGGAACCAGCAGTGAAGGAAGTGAAACCTGTAGAAAAGGAAGTGAAGAGCTTGAAAGAGGAAGACCTGCTACTGGATTCCGGAACCGATTCCGATTACGACGGAGATGTATTCTCCTTTTTCCTTGCGCCTTCTCTTTCGTTTCATTGCTTGGAGCTTTTTTTTTATTTTCGTTTATTGTGCATTTGGTTGATTTGTTCCTCTTTCTGGGTTTTGTGTTTCTGTAGAGTTTGTCCGGGTCTTTGAATTCCGATGATTTCGACTCCGATATTTTCGATTCCGAGGATGATGGTTCACAGAGAGATACAGAAGATGGAGAGAGAGAATCATTAGGGGACAAGGACCATGGTAATTGTTTGCTATTGCTTCTCCTCTGTCTCAGCTCATCTTTATTTTGAGTTTTTAAGGCTCATGCTCTTGATGGGTCGGCGTTAAAACCTCAGTTTGAATAGTTGATACTTGTTGGAATCTATGATGAGCTTTTATGGGGGATTAGGGTTTCTAGCTCTAATATGCGAAAGGAAATTATCAAGTAAGAGAGCGTAACTGTTTCCGGTATCTACTGATATAGGTCATGAGGGATCAGTTGGTAACGATGATAATGGTGATGAAAGTGAACAAGTCGATAGTGAAGATGGTATGGAAGATGGGAGTGACGAAGGTTCCGAGCAAGGTGAAGTTGCCGAAGAGAGCGATTCTTCAGAAGATGAGGTCGATGCTTTTTCTATTCATTATTGAATTTGAAACTGTCTTTCTCCATTACCAAACGAAAATATATATTTATCTAAGCTTTGATGTGTAGGTTGCTCCAAGAAATACAGTTGGGAATGTTCCCTTGAAGTGGTATGAGAATGAGAAGCATATTGGTTATGACATCAATGGGATGAAGATTACCAAGAAAGAACTGCGAGACAAGCTTGACTCTTTTCTTGCAAGTATGGATGACAAGAAGAACTGGTCAGTTTGAAAGACTTTTGTGTTTATTTGTATATATTGTTTGTTATTTAGTAGCATTATGGTGATGCAATTTGTGGGGCTTTAGGCGCCAAATTCTTGATGAATATAATGACGAGGAAGTAGAGGTGACTAAAGAGGAGCAAATGCTCATTCGTAGACTACTGAAAGGGGAAGCGCCACATGCTGACTTTGATCCGTATCCGGTACGTAATGTGGTTTCTGTGTAGCCGTTTTCTACTAATATATTATACAAATCTCTTCAACAATGTGACCTTTCCATCGATTCTCTTGGTGCCAGACTTATGTTGATTGGTTCAAATGGGATGATGCAATACATCCACTCTCGAGTGCACCAGAACCCAAGCGAAGGTTCCTCCCTTCAAAATGGGAGGCTAAAATAGTTCTTAAGTACGTTAGAGCAATCCGGAAGGGGTTGATCAAGTTTGATAAGCCTGAAGAAGAGCCCAAAGTATACGATTTATGGGGTGATTCTACTTCAGATCAGAAGAACAAGCACTTAACTTATATTCCTCCACCCAAACTAAAGATGCCAGGTACCAACTTTTTGATGACCGTCTCTTTATCTGCTTCTGTCTTTGAATTGCATTTTCTTAAGGTCTGTAATTTGTACAATTTGGCTTCCCAGGACACGAGGAATCATACAATCCTTCTTTGGAATACATTCCAACAGAGGAAGAGAAAGCCTCATATGAATTGATGTATGAGGAAGATCGTCCAAAGTTCATTCCTAAAAGGTATGTAAAAGTACCGCTTTATATACTCTGTTGTAGTTTTCTTTGGGATTCGTTAGCTCAAGTCTTGTGGTAAATATTACGTGTGCGTAGGTTTACATCTCTGAGAAGCATCCCGGCATATGGGAATGCACTAAACGAGCTTTTTGACCGTTGTTTGGATCTATACCTCTGTCCTAGAGTTCGAAAGAAGAGAGTGAGGACTAATATGATTTTCATTCTGTTTTACGTTTTTTTTTCCTCTGTATCTAATCTCACAGCGTGTCTCCTTTCTCCAGATAAATATCGATCCTGAATCGTTGAAGCCTAAGCTACCTAGTAGGAAAGATCTTAGACCTTATCCAAACTCGTGTTATCTTGAATATAAAGGCCACACAGGAAAAGTTACTACCATATCCACTGAATGTTCTGGCCAGTGGATAGCCTCAGGTATTTCATTTAATGTTTTTATTCAATTTTATTGAGCTCTCTATTTTTTTCTTTCTAAGATACCATCCTTACATTCTTTTTTTTTGTTTGGTTTTGTTTTTCTCTCTTCAAAGGTTCGACTGATGGATCTGTTCGTATATGGGAAGTGGAAACTGGTAGATGTGTTAAGACCTGGCAGTTTGATGAAGCTGTTAAGCGTGTGGCTTGGAATCCTCATTCCGACTTTTCAATTTTAGCCGTTGCCATGGGACGAGATTTGGTTATCCTCAACACTGAACTTGGCACTGATGAGCAACAGGAAAATATTAAAGAGCTGCTTCAGTTAGGAAACGTTCCAGAACCAAAAGCATCTGGTAAGTAGCCACCAACACCTTGTCAGAAATTGAAGATGGATATCCGAATGATTTAATAATCTTTTGTATGTTTTTGTACCATAGTTGCAGCAATCGCAAGCTGGCTTCCAGATGAGAAAAATGGAGGGATCATTATTAGACATTTTAAGGTACACTTTTTGCTAAAATATCCTTTGTAACAGCTTTCACAGGGGAAAAAACAAATCCTTGAACTGGTTTGGTTTATATATTTCAGAACATATCGAGTATAGACTGGCATCGCAAGGGAGACTATCTGTCGACAGTCATGGCATCTGGCGAAACGCGAGGTGTTGTAATTCATCAAATCTCGAAGAAGCTTACGCAAAAGCCATTCAAGATCCGCGGACTTCCGGTGACTGCACTTTTTCATCCCAGCCGTTCATACTTCTTCATCGCGACAAGAAAGAACGTGCGTGTTTACAATCTGTTAAAGGTAGAGGAGCCCGTCAAGAAGCTCGAGACTGGGATGAGGGAAATCTCATCAATGGCTATTCATCCCGGTGGTGATAACCTGATAGTAGGAAGCAAAGAAGGGAAGATGTGTTGGTTTGACATGGATCTGTCTTCGAAGCCGTACAAGACTCTGAAGAATCATCCCAAGGACATCACGAATGTGGCATATCACCGTTCGTATCCGTTGTTTGCTTCGTCCTCGGAGGACTCAACGGCTTATGTGTTCCATGGAAAGGTGTATAACGATCTGAACGAGAATCCTCTGATTGTGCCGTTGGAGATTCTTAGAGGCCATTCTACTTCTTCAAATGGGGGAGGTCAGTTTTTTATTGTGTTATTTTTTTGTTATTCTTTAAGGATCACACTATGATGCGTCATCGTCGTCATATGTTTAGATTTTTTCAAGAGATTGATATATATTATGGGTTTTGATGGCAGGAGTCTTGGACTGCAAGTTTCATCCGAGACAACCATGGCTATTCACTGCAGGAGCTGACTCAATTATCAAACTCTATTGCCACTAAATTTACAAACCCTCTTTTTGACATTTTGCAAGTTGTTTCACATTGTTTTACTTTTTTTGGGTGTAAGTGGTAAACTGCTAAATCTGACTTAATATAAATTTTGCCAAATTATTTGTGTGTTTTCTCCAAAATGTGATCAAATAACTAAAAGTTTAAATGGTATCAAGGGTTGAATTGATTAATGAAATATGTTTTAAACATTCTAAATAAGTAATTTGTAGCATGTTTATAAAGCTGTAGTTATAAATAAACTACTATTATATTCATTATAACCTTTTGATTTATGATTCATCCATCAGACAATTTAATTAACCTTGTGATGGGTTTTTCTCAGGGGAAAAGGAAAGATAATCATAATTTTGACTATTGCTGATCTCTTGATGATCTTATCTTTAAATGGGTTGATATAAGTCAACATCTTTGTTTATTTTATTTATTATATTAATTATGTCATATAAAAAGCTTTTTTTTTTAATACATAGTATTTTAACTATAGCATTACCAAAAATACAAATAGAACTTTAAAAATTAACGACTGATTGGTAAGTCTGGCCGGCCTTCCAATTCGCCGGAATAACAGCCTGAGCGATGGTTACTTTACGAGATTCATTAGAAGTAAGTCTAATGTTGAACGGACCTCTCAGAGGACTACCGGAGTTTAATTTCCATTCGGCGGATCTCATTTCTTGCATGAAGATATAATTTCCTCCGGCCGGTTGAATCTCAACGGAAGCCAAATCTCCGTCACCGTTTTCGTATTCCACAACAAATGACATGTAGTAAGGATTTGCTCCGGCGTCAATACGGAAAGCTATATTAGTCCCTCTATATGAACACGGAGCACTGTAAACAAAACAAACCAAATGAATATTATTTAACATCTAATTGGTTTCTTGCGAGATACATAGTAAAATAACATACGAATTCTGGTTTATGAAAGGGAAACATCATAAGTTTTTGCGGGAAGAACTAAATCTATTTTATACGTTACGTACCGTCTGTAACCAACACGGAGAACACCGGCGGCTCGAAGCTGATTGGCTTGGCCAGGTTTGGCTAAGGCACCAATGGCTTTGCCGCTAAGGTCAAAGTGGACTGGCTCGGAGGCGCAAGGACCACCGGGACACTCGTCCGTTATCGTCACCGTTATTGGTCTTCCTGAACACGCTGGATTCCCACTGCACATAATCTAATACAAACAAACTTTTAAATTTACAATATGGTTGAGAAACTAGATCTAGTCCGACTTGCATGCATGTTAAATTAATTAATGACATTTTTGTTTATATATAAACAAAGAAATATGTCATTTTTATCGAATGTATTTATGTAAAATACATGGATCTAATGCCATATAAATATATAATATATACATTAGTGTCTCATTTTGGAACGTTCTACAAAATTTATGTTGTGTATATATACGAACCTGATAACATGTTCCACATCCTTTACCGTTGTTGAATAGTGAAGGGCCTCCGGCTGAAACCATCGCGTAAAACGGTGGATTGGCCACTGCCAAACCATATCCACAAGCTCCCCCTATGTATATATAGACATGTATACGTAAAAATCATCTAAAATCGAAATATTCAGAAGAATAAAATTATATATATGTGTTGTTAACAGATGGTAATACGTACCGGTGCTACCGGCGCCCTCAGCTTCACCGTACCAAGTAACACCGGCGTTGCTCCAGCCCGAGGCATCTATAGTATTATTTTGGCAATAACAAAACCTCAGTGAGATTGCAAAAAGAGCTAAGAGAGCAATACATCTATGTGATGATGCCATTGATGATCTACTTTGTTTCGTTTAAACAATTTTTCTACAAATATTTAAGTTATAAGTGAATTCGATTCATTATATGATGTGGATATTTATAGTGGGTTTATTTTGTGTACTTCTCACGAATGGCAAATCTTAATATTGGCATTATATTAATGTGTATGAAAGTAATTTAAGCTTGCCAATTCTCTAAAAGGAAAACATATTTAAAATGAAGAATGTGAAAAGGTAAATCACATTAATAACTTATATACATTGACATATTTTACAATTGACTACTCCAATAACTGAAAAAACTGGAAAGTAATTCTTACCTTTGACTGTTGAATTTAAAAAACTTTGCAAAGCAAGAATCAAGTAATTATGGCAATTAAAGTTGAAAAAATATAACAATATTATTTATGAAAAAGAGAGAGAGAGAGAGAGAGAGAGAGAGAGAGAGAGAGAGAGAGAGAGAGAGAGAGAGAGAGAGAGAGAGAGAGAGAGAGAGAGAGAGCGAGAGAGAGAGAGAGAGAGAGAGAGAGAGAGAGAGAGAGAGAGAGAGAGAGAGAGAGAGAGAGAGAGAGAGAGAGAGAGAGAGAGAGAGAGAGAGCGAGCGAGCGAGAGAGCGAGCGAGCGAGCGAGCGAGAGCGAGATAGTAAATTGGCGGAATGTACGTCAATCTTGGTACGTATGGAAGTAAATTACATACAAGTGATTGATTAATATCACCATTTTGACCATATGAGGTAGCAATTTTGCTTGTTCTTATCAGTTTTGTTATCTTCTGTGGAAGAGGAAACAAAAGCAAGCAAGAGCAAATAAAACAACATATATATTATTAATTACAACTAATTTTAACTTTACTGTGTTTAGATCTTGATGAAACACCAAGCCTTGAACAATTTGCTAATATAGATAGAGTATAGTTGTATATACTAAATAAATTAAAACCTATAAGGATGAAATATTTCGAAGACCAATCATTAATTCATTTATCCATATAGTCATACAATACATATTTTAAGAGTACGATTTCCGAGTCTTTTTTTTTGGTTTACGTATTAGAGTTCGTCGCGATGAGAGAAAGAACATGACGTAGTCGTAAACTCGTAGTAGCAGTTTTAATTTCTTTATTTCTATGGTTTTTCTTAATTGATAAATCACTTGTTGATATCAATGGCAAAGCATATCCCTTAATTACTAATAAAATAGTTAAGTCTATGGGTTCATATATATTATATTAAGTCAACATCTTTTTTTGTGTATATTATATCGATTATCTCGTATTAAAAGCTGTATTCTATAGTATTTTGACTAGAGCGGAAGAGCAAAAGATAAATAAAACTCTAATAGTTAACTACTGATCGGTATGTATCGTTGGGCTTCCAATTCGCCGGAATAACATCACGAGCGACGACTACTTTACGAGATTCGCGAGAAGTAAGTCTAACGTTGAACGGACCTCTCAGAGGACCACCGGAGTTTAATTTCCATACGGCGGACCTCATTTCTTGCATGAAGATAAATGCTCCTCCGGCCGGTTGAATCTCAACGGAAGCCAAATCTCCGTCACCGTTTTCGTATTCCACAACAAATGACATGTAGTAAGGATTTGCTCCAGCGTCAATACGGAAAGCTATGTTAGTCCCTTTGTATAAACATGGAGCACTGTAAACAAACAAAATTAAACAAATATATTTGGATTGGACATCATTGTCTAATATATTTGGATTGGACATCATTGTCTAATATATTTTAGCTGAATAACTAATCTATTTAACTATTTTATACGTACCGTCTGTAACCAACACGGAGAACACCGGCGGCTCGAAGTTGATTGGCTTGGCCAGGTTTGGCTAAGGCACCAATGGATTTGCCGCTAAGGTCAAAGTGAACTGGCTCGGAGGCGCAAGGTCCACCGGGGCACTCGTCCGTTATCGTCACCGTTATTGGTCTCCCTGAACACGCTGGATTTCCGGTGCACACAATCTAATACAAACAATATGGTTGAGAAAAAATAATACATTTGTAACCGTACGACGATCTCACTATGACTTGCATGCATGCTACGTATATTAGTATGTGTATAGTCTTTTCAAACCAGATCTAGCCCGGCCGCGACCCAAAACTAATTAATGACATTTTTGTTTAATTATGAACAAAGGAATATATATGTCATTTTTATTGAATGTATATATGTGAATTCATGGATCTTATGCTTTTTAAGTATATACATTAGTGACGTCTCATTTTCGATCGTTCTAGAAAATTTCTATTGTTTTTATATAAATATATGTATACGAACCTGATAACATGTTCCACATCCTCTACCATTGTTGAATAGTGAAGGGCCTCCGGCTGAAACCATAGCGTGTAATGGTGGACTGGCCACTGCCGAACCATATCCACAAGCTCCTCCTACATATATAGACATGCGTAAATATATATAATCTAAATCGAATTATTCGAAGAATAAAATTATATATATATATATATATATATATAGGTTGTTACAATTGGTAATACGTACCAGTGCTACCGGCGCCCTCAGCTTCACCGTACCAAGTAACACCGGCGCTGCTCCATCCCGTGGCCTCTATAGTTTCATTTTGGCAATAACAAAAACTTAGTGAGGCTGCAAAAAGAGCTAAGAGAGCAAAACATCTAGGTGATGATGATGATGCCATTGATGATGATCGTTTAAACAAATTTCTACAATGTTCAATGCTATAGGTGAATTCGATTCATTATGTGATGTGGATATTTATAGTGGCTTTTTTGTACTTCTCATGAATATACAGTCAAACGTATATTGGAATTTAATGCATGTCAGTCTTCGTACGTACGGAAGTCATTAATTTAAACTTATCAGTTCTGTAGAAGGAAACCAAATTTGATATAAAGAACGTAAAAAGTAATACATCTGGGAGGGGTTATTGGGAGATATATTTTAAAGAATTTTCATTCTATTATTATTGGTTTATAGATTCTGAAAATCTTGTTATTGATTTAAAGATTTTAACATTCTATCTAAATTCATTTGTTATTCAAAAAGTTTAATTTTTATATTAAAATTTTGTGTTATTGGGACATAGATTTTAAACAATCTAACTCATAAAACAAGATTTATCAAGACTTTCAAAATACTACCTATATAATTTAGATTCTCAAAGTCATTATAATAAAATATGTTAATAGATTTTATAAATATATAGACTATTTCCAAATTTAACAATTTTTTTTTTATAAATTTAATAAAATCTCTCAACTCTTTAAATCAATCAAAATTTTATAATTCCATCTCACAATAATTTCTTCTATATAGACTAACTATCTTTTTACTGACACGTTTTCAATTGATTACTTCAGCTGATTGACTTAACTGAAAAGCTGGAAAGTAATTTTTTTCGTTTGACTGTTGAATTAGATACATTGCTTACCTTTTGTGCATCGTTCCACTTAAAACGTTACCATTTTTCCGATACATTTGCACTCCACTTTACAAAGTACAAACACACACATCCATGAAAACAATAAAATTAAACAAAACCAATAAATCAAACCTTATTAGCTTATAGCAATGCTGTAGCCTGCATTAAACTATTAACCCTTTATTATTGTAAGCTAAACGTGAATTTGATTTATTATATAATTTGGATATTTTGGATGATCTGTAACGGGATTTTTGGGAATATATACTTCTCACGAATATATTCAGTGTTTTTGGAAATCGTTTATTGCCAATGAACGTGATTGATTATCAATATCATCATTTCACCAAATGAGATTTTAACCAATGATAATGACTGGACGTTAAAGAGAAAACAAAAACAAACAACTTTTATTCACCCTACGTGCTTATACATTGAGTTAAAAACAAACCTTACTACATGCCCTAAACAACGGTAGCAAATCACTAATTGATGTATAACTTATTGTCTTATACTAAATAGTGATTCGAGACTCGTGAGTAAATTGATTTATTTCTCGCTAGACGTGAAAATTTACATTCGACTTGTACTTCGCACCAGGCTGCCAACCGGCCGGAATAACATCGGAAGCCACAACGGTCTCGCCGGAGTCTAGAGAAGTCACCCTGAGAGATAGTGGGGCCCGTAAAGTTGACGTCACGTCGAGCTTCCACACGGCGCCCCATATTTGGCTCATGGGAAGCCACGTGTCAGAATCTAACGCTTGTTTGAGTTCCACTCGGCCGATCTCACCGTCTCCGTCTTCATACTCAACCAAAGCCGCGAAGTAGTTAGCGTTTGAACCTTTCTCCACTTGAAACGTCACCGTTTTGCCTATATAGTTGCACTCAACTCTACAAAAAAAAAACAAATCAATGGAAATGATAATTAAACAAAAACCAATTTATAACCTTAGTATATCCTTTATCAATGTGTAACTCATGTACTTTCTGTAAAGAATCTGCAAAACTCCGGCATCGCGAAGCTGGCTATCTTGACCGGAAATCGCCATGGCACCAAACGCTGTACCACTCAAATCGAAATGGACCGACTCGGTAACGCATCCGGGACATTCGTCTGTAATCACTACCGCAACCGGATTTTTCGAACACGCTGGTTTCGAAGTGCATTTTATCTGTACATAGGTATATCAACTGACGTATATAAATATATAATTACCTAAACTTTGATTTAAATTTATTTTTAATGTAATCTCTCTTTTGCTGAATTGTAATTAGTTGGTCGTGCGGAACCTGATAACACGCGCCACATCCTTTCCCCGACTTAAACAACGAAGCACCTCCAGCTGATACCATGGCCGAAAACGGAGATTGTCCCACAGCATCTCCATAACCACAAGCTCCACCTTCATTAATTTATTATCGGAGTTAGTAATTATTATTAGAGTTATAAGTGATAGTTTGACTACTGTAGAGATGTAATTTACATTCCATAACACATACCGTCGCTTCCGTAGCCGGTGGGGCTGCCGTACCACGTAGCTCTGGCTAGAGACCAATCGGAAACGCCGGTCGCGGCGGAAATATTGAGGTTTTTCGGGTTGAAGCAATGAGACAAGTTTAATAGAAGGAAAGATAGACCAAAGAGTAAGTTCATGATAATGTAATATCGCTCTACGACAAGAATTGTCATTGTAATAATAGTAATAAGTAACTAATAAGTCATTCTATGCATGACTGGTGCTATTTATAGACTTATCACTTATCGATCGAGTCCCGTGAAGGGCTCTAATACGCCCAACTATTTTTAGCCACGTGTCTCAGTGTCTGATTGTCTAACAAGTATAAAGGCACGTGAAGTTTTTCTTTTTGTTTTACTTCGAAGTGGGTCCTACGTGACGGTTAACGGTTAGGTCCACAGGTTCATGTGGTCGAAGAATACGTTGTCGTATTGCGTAATTAATTCTTCTTTACCCCCAAATCAAGGTGATTTGGAATTATATTGGATCTTTCGTATACGGTGATTGATGGCGAAATTATTACGTTAATGTAGCCGTTATTGGTGGTTTGCTTGGCCGTTGAAAATTCATCCACACCGTTGAACTTGTTCTGTCAGTTCTGACGGTTGAAAAGGATACAATGCATATATTAATATAAATATTATTAACCCAATCAATGTGCAGAGGGATTTGAAAATAATCGCTGGCTGTTGAACGTAAAACTTGGCGTGAATCAGGTTCGTTATGACGATTTACTGAAATAAAATCAACCTATATCTATTATTTTTGTTATTAAAAACGTCAAGAACTCATGGATGAATTAATTTACAAATTGAATTTCATAATTTAAGGTAGAAAAATTAGTATTAAGAAAATCTAGAGTAGAAAATATGAGTACTAGATTTTGATGATGCACATCCGGCCGAATGCCTTGAGACACAGTCGAGCCATTTCACAATGGGCCGACCCGTATAAATTAAGCGGGCTATTAGGCCCATGCACTTTTCAGTTAATAAAATAATCTTCACGTAGCTGTTATTGTGATTTTAAATTATGTTTCACCACCGATTTAAAGTACGACAAAGAGAAAACTAAAGTCATGGGTATTTAGTATTTACAATATAAATTTGCATGCCTCTTGTTGTGAGGCAATTATTAGGCATCATATCAACACACACCATCCTAATCTTATTTTGCAATAATCAAGTTTAAAGGATTAGATCAAATGATTGATGTCTTGAATTAGGTAAATGCTCGTGAACCACACTACACGGTTCTTTGTATAATGATTTTTTTTTCAATACAACACCAGAATATATTATTATTATGCAAGCGTGTTCCTCAAAGAACATTCGGATATGCATTTTTTTGTTCGATTGAAAATTTGAATCCCGTTTGACCATATTTGCTCATACAGAAGTACAAACATATGGATTCAATGAATCAAACATTAAACTCATTTACTTCTATTTTTATTTTAAATGGTTGATGAAATCATTAAAATAAAATAAAATAAATAAACCATTGGTAATGCATGTTTATGTGCCGCCGATTAATCAATTATTGGACACCAAATCCGCACCCGAATCCTAACTTTATCTTTCTTCTCATTATGTATCCAAAATGATTAATATGGATACAATCTTAACTATTATTTGAAAAGCATGTTTACTAAAAAATCCTATGTGTTAATATGTAAAAAAAAGTTAGTGCAAAACAATGACATGTCATAAATGTGACATGATAAATTTTCTAAAATAAACGAAATATTTTGATTGGTTAAGTTAAAACTAAATAAATCTTATTTTTAAATAAGAAAAAGTTTATATTATATGTGAATGAATTCACATTATATCAAGAATTGAAAATTATAAATAAAACAAAAAAAATAAACAGAGACAAAAATAAATTATAAGTATCCACTTGACCAACTTTTTTTTATTATAATATTGTATATATGAATAAAAAGTAAAAATAAATATTTACGACTTTAGTTTTATGTAAAAATCTCAGGTTATATTTTTGATTTAAAGCACATCCAACTCACCTTTATTTTAAATATTCTAATTTAGAGGAAAATGAAAGGTTGTTACTTTTTCCTTCAATTATAGAGGAAAAAATATTATTTTTTCTTTTTTTCTGTAAAAGGGAGAAGTCTACTTATATTTTAGAAGAAAAAATAGAAAAATACATTTGAGATGATCTAAATGTTAAATATATTATAAAGATTTAAAAAATATGAGTCAAAAAGAAAAAAAAATAAATAAGAATAGTTTTGATCGATTTTATATTTTTATTTCAAATATTTAAAAATATTATCTTACACATATTAATTCTTTCATTCATATATTTTTCCAACATATTAAAACATTATTTCATGAATCAAATTGTGTATATGTTGTGATCCATTATATTTTGTATTAACAAATATATTAAAGTTAGGAACGGATCAACTTTTAATTTTTAATACAACAATTAAATATATTATTTTACATCTTAAATCATACACATATAAGTTTAGATCCGATTAGAAGTGAAATATATTATTACAGACAGTTTGTGAAAGTGAGCGATTGCGGATTATCAAAAAACTTGACGAAAAGATGAGAGGAGAGCTACCACATAATTTTATAAAATATGATTTCATAAATTTTATAATAAATGTTTATTATATTTTTATTGAGAAACTATATATCATAAAACTTTGAAAAATAAGAAATTTTGATTAAATACAAAACAATATAAACGGTTTTCGTGATTTTTGTTAAATGCCAATAACTGCATCGTGTAAAAACATAACGTTTGCAGAAAGTATTACCAACACCTAAATATTATAGTTCACTTATTTCTAACTCATATCTAAATGCATAAATATACTTATTATTATATATTAAAAAATTAACCATACATTATAAAAATATGTATTACAAAACATATACTTTCTTATTTTCTTTTAACACATAAAAGTCATACTTTGATTTTCTTACAAATATGCGTGTAAATATAAATATCAATTGTGTAAAAGTCAAACTTGCATGCAAATATGTCGTGCATACATTTTGTTAATCTCGATTACACTCTAATTTTAATTTTAGTTGTTAGACAATTTATATTTTTTAAGAATCTTTATATGGCTTAAGAGCGGTGATGTGGTTGGTACGCACGAATGTGTGGGCCAACCATCTACCCCCTCTTAGAATAAGTAAATATGGTAAAATTCATTTTGATTTAATTAACAATAGATTAAGGAAAAAATACTTAAAATATATATTGACAAGATTATATTGTAGAATGAGAAAAAGAAAGTATAGTATAGATAATATTTAAAAAATATTATAAGAATTTAATTATTATTTATTATAACTTTTACATTTGCAATTATTTGTTACTCTAAATGCTTGAAAAAATAAAAAATTTCAAAAGGCACAAAATGACATAAAACATTTCTGTGATTGTTGTTGAACACGAAAACTGTATATAAGTTATGGTGTCATTGAAGATATAAGAGAAAGGGACGCAACAGCTTGGATGCTTTCTACTTTCTAGTTAGAAACTGTGAGTATGTGTAGGTAGCGTTCCAGGTCACTGCATAAGCATAAGTTTGAAATCATGTTTAGAGATCAATGATTATATTTTCTTTAATACTTACATGATGCTTACGAATGAGTCTTTTTAGAATTAACAATGGAAGCTTTGTGTAGTTCAAATGAGTTATCGAACTAAGTTGAAGTATGTATTTATAGGTGAAATGATTAGTTGAGGTTGTTACAGTTTCAAGGAATAAAAAATATATGGATGATATTAGATATACTTAGAGAATACAGAATAATTCTCTTAAAAAGGAATATTTAGTTAACAATATAGGTTATTGATGGTAGATTTTACGGGATGATAGGATCAGAGGGATATCTAAACTATTTAAAATAAGAATGTATGTAATTCTAATTTGTAGCTATTGGATTTCTTTTAAAAGAAAATCTAGTTGAAATTTCAAATAGAATCATTAGTTACGGAAAACTTGCTTGTTCAGATTTGAAGTTTTAAATTTAAACAGATTTTTAATGGTGCGGATGTTTAAAAATGATAAAGATTTCGTGATCAAAACGTTTTATACATTATGGCTGCATGTTTTAATAGTATAGATTATGATCATTCAGTGTATGTTTTCGGTCGATAGAATATGGTTTGGTATTCATCATGCTAATACTTACACTCGATTAGAATGATTTAGTCCATATTGGTTTCGATCAATAGAACTATGGAAAATAATCAAGGTTATATATTAGAAGTAGGAATCCATTATAGTGTGATTGTAAATTAATGTTGTGTTTCTTGTGTTTGATCGAAACAGGTACAAACTGGTGCAACAAACTGGTGCAATAAATGGTTCAAAATCGCCTATAATAATATTGATTTTAATCTGTTATAACAAAACTATAATGACGGGCAGTGTATGTTTATTAATTAGTAATGTATAATTACAGTAAAACTTTTATAAATTAATAATGTTGGGACTTTCAAATTTTATTAATTTATAGAGTTATTAATTAATCGATAAATTAATAATTATTAATTTATCGATAAATAAATATTTTATTAATTTATAAAGATATTTTTAGTTCAAATTTTTAATATTCATCAAAAAAACAAAATCAATAGTTTCAACAATATATAATTCATTTAAAAAATGTCATAATAATGAATTTAGAAGACAAATCAAACAAATTTTATAAACTTGAAACAACAATATTATCATAGTTTACTATATTATATTATTAATATATGCCTACATGTATAATTATTAATTTATATTATTATTGGAACTATATTTTTACATAGAACTTTTTAAAAAAAGTATTATCTTATTATCTTATCGAATTTTGTCAATTTTTACATTGGCCCGATTTGAGACCGGCAAAAATTATTAATTTATAGTGATTATTAATTTATCGAATATTAATTTATAGAGGTTCTACTGTATGTTACAAAGTTTAATCATATTGTTAATATTAATTCATTAATAGCAATTAATGTAAATAACACGTTAGATAAAGGTTATTTATAAAAAAATGATCCTCTTTTAATAGTGTAGATGTATGTACTGTAATACTCTCTATTGTTTCTCACATCAACAACTTTCCAAGGTAAAAAATATGAATATCTGCGTTTTTTAGTTAAAATGTTAAATTCGTCACATTATAACAAAAAAACAAACAACCTTTTGTTTGGTTATGAGTTAAAAAATGACCTTAAGATTACCAGCAATCTTAACAAATCTAATGCATGACAAAGATTTTCTGGGGTTTCACAATCACGGGCATAGACTTAATTGACAACTCATTTCTTAATCAATGGATTTTAGTGTCCAAGTTAGACAGTCTAACCCAATGTTAAGAGTTCACATGTCTAAGAAACTAGTAGATGACAAAAAGAACAGATTAACAAAATGTTTTTTGCAAATGAAAACCATTTCGGCTTTGTTGATATCATCATCTTCGATTGCAAGGCAAACATCAATGTCGCTCTTTGGGAAACCAAACGAGTTAGCACATGACCCGTAAAGATACAACTTTGCATGAGGCCATTCTTTGCCAACTAGATGCTCTAGCTGCACCATTAGTTGTTTCTGCTTCTCGAGCTCCTCGTCTGCAGGGATAAGAGAATTGTACACTGCGTTGAACGGACCATCATGCCTGTGGATATCATTTCTACATGCCATATAACTTTTCGCCGTCTTTAGCCTCTGGCCAAGCAGCCACTGACCCCGAGTGTCGATTCTCGATTCCTGGTAACACAAATTCCAAAACTGCTCATAAATACGGTGATTCAACTATATTGTCTATGCTAATTCAAGTTGTAAATACTTTAACGCAAAAGGGCTAAACGGAATGCAGCTAAGTATGCGGTTGGTTTATCGTTGGGGATGAGTCTTGTTGGTGCCGGTTTGCTTCTGAGATGGACTGTTGGATGGATGCAGATGCTATCTTTTTAGTCGAAACTGAAAGAGAAGAAGAAGAGGAGAGAGGCTGCGAAAGCTTTATGTATGGAGAAATTTCACTCTTTTTCTCTTTGATGATGGCCTTGAAAATGAGTGCAGGTTTTGGATTTCGTTAACGAGAATGTAAATTGTTGTAAGAATTTTGTTAATATTGGGTTTCTCTAGTTTGATCCTTTCATGTAACATCATATGCTATATATTATATGATGTGCTATTATAAATTCGATCTTTATCCATTATTTATAATTTTCCATCTGCATATGTTATGTATCAAATTGTCGAATACACACGTATCGTGGTTATATATCAATAAACCCTAGATCCTCTCGTGGTGATGCAAGCCTTTCGTAACGCCGGGTTGGCCCATGTTCGGCCTTAGGCTGTGTATCCCCTTTAAATATACGTATCGTCGTCCTGATCCAGCAATTAGCCCTAGATCCTCTCTTGCCTCCTCTCTTGTCTCCTCATTTCGTTCATAACTTAGATCCTCTCGTGATGCAAGCCTTTCGTAACGCCGGAGGTTAGTCATACCTTTGTTGCACTCCTCTTTGTCAGTATTGTTCTCCGGTTTTAGATCTCTCTTGTGGTATCTGTGATTCATGGGTCATATTGATTGATTGATTGATTTTGGGGCTGTTATGACTTAGGGTTTGCTTTTTTCACTAGTATTAGCGATCGTACAGCAACCACACATACGCTAGACTTGGTGAACCAAATAAGATTAACCTTGAATTTTATCATCTCGATGAGTCTTTTCTAATTCAATTCTAAACCCTTGTCGTAATGTAATAGCCATGAGGTTTGTGCAAGGGCGTCGTCTGTTTGCAATGGTTTCAGGCCACTATCCACCTGCACCCGAACCTGATCTGCCTCAAATCTCGTCGATGGATCCCTTTGGTAGGCCCCAGCCTCACCCCAGTGTCTTGGAGACGATTGAGCATATGAGAAACCTCACTCATTTGGTTTTATATTCAGTGAGATCCTGGGCCTTCCAAACCCTCCCGAGCCCGCCAAAGTAACCACCGGTGATTTTGTTGTGAAGTTGGTCAAGGTTGATCCTGGCAATAACTGGACTGTGCTTACAGAAGTTGCATGGGTCAAATCGCTGGATTCTATCCCAGTGGTCAAACATTTGTCAGAGATGGGTCTGGGTCCATCGGTTCATGTTGTGCAAAACGTCCCCTCCGTGATTAAAGAAGGTGTCTCCGAGGAAGAAGCTAACCAGATCATTGCCAAGATCCAAGCCGCCGGTGGAGTCGCTGTCATGGAACCAATGGAGTGATGACCAACTCCATTGTTTTTCTATTTGTGTGTTGATTTGGCTTTTCTTTGTTTTTTCTGGTCTTGTGATATGTTTTGTAAGAGAACAAATTAATCACTCTAAACCCTCCCCTTTGTGATGGTCAGCAAGCAAAAATAAACTACGCCAAGTACCTCAACTAAGAAATAAATTTTAAGCAGATATTGTCTCAATTCGATTCAATCTCTGATGTGAAGCCATTCATAATGGGGAAAAACCCTCTACACCTGGGAGTCAAGAGCTTAGTAGTTGAACGTGAACTGTCTTCTGGTCCGGTTCAAAATTTCCGATCGTACCTTCATCATCCAACAATGACCTTGAGCTCATTTACGATCGCACCTTCATCATCCAACAATGACCTTGAGCTCATTTTCTTGACCTCATCACTCGACTATACGAATAACTTCTTCGCCGTTTTACAAAACTCACTGTCACATTCAAGAGCGAGCGAAGGGGAGAGAGAGAGAGAGAGAGTCAAGTCACTTAATCCCATGAATCGTCTCCTACTTCATCGTCCGTAAACACAATATCCCAAGTGTCTTTAGGATTAAGCTCCCCTTCAATCTCAAACATTTTCTCTAACTCACTGATTAGTTCATCGTATGATTTCGACAGCGTTAAATCAACCGCGCGCCCAACCAATGTTCCTTGCATTTGCACCTTTCCAAGAACAAACACACAAAAGTTGGTCTCTTTTTGAGTTTTAGGTGAAGAGTAATGGTCTGTTTTACCTTGGTTCGGCTTCTTGTTGATGTTTGTTGCTTCAGATCATTTAGGGAGCTCGACGAGTTAGGATATTGACACTTGGTAGAACCAAAGTTGCTTGAATCCACACTTACTAGTTGCTGCTTGTCAGGAGGAACTGGAGCAGACGCAGGCTTGCTCATGAGATCGAATCCGAATAGCCTACAGCAACTTGTAACAGTTGTAAAAGGAGTCTCGGGGTTTCGTGCATTGCAATCCACTTGAAAATAGAAATTACTGGTTTGTTCGAGTTCCTTTCTGTTGATGGAACTGTTTGAGTGATGCATCGGCCTCGTGGCTCTGCGGGAAGCTGCTCAAGAAACTAGAAGCGACAGGACCCCCTGTGATTTCGCAAGACAAAAGTTTCATCTTCAAGAATCTAATTTGTTGTGGTCAATTCTAAAAACCGATTCTGCTTTTGTCTAATAAGGTACTTAAGAGTTTTGTTTATGAATGTACCTGAAATTGATGAACAAACGGGTCTGGACCGTTTGGACTTGGAATGTGGTTGAGTAGGCGTTGGGGTTAGCGCAGATGTTGAGAAAGGCTCGATCTCCCACGGTGAATGGTCTCTGAACTGAAGATGGCTCGTCCCATTGGATCTTAAGATTAGAAGAAGAAGATTGAAATTATACAGAAAGTTTGCAACAAGAATCATATTATAGGGGAATGATTCATATTCACTGAACCTGCAGTGACCTCCATTTCGAAGCCGGCCATTGAGGAGATAGATCTCCATTACCAATAACTGTACCACTAGATCTGAACAAGAAACCAAACCAAAATTTCAAAACAAGAACAATCACGGGAGCACTGAAAACAAAAAATCGACAAATGATGAGAAGAGGATGAATCTACATTCTCTCAGGGGAGTCTTCTCCTTCAAATCTCATCCTAAACCGCATACCGATAGAAAAACCATTCTTCATCGCCGCCATACACTTGTTCACACCTATTATGAATTGGCTGATCCTGAACACCCGAAAAGAAAGAAAGACAAAATTAAAGCTTAATATCCTTTCTTCACTAGCAAGATGCAAAGTGAGAAACTTGACCTCGGCTTATAGAAGACAACAAACAAAGTTTTGGTTTTGGCAGCATGAGAGGCCGTAGCAAGAACTCCCATGGTGGAAGGAATCTATGAACAAGGTTCGCAACATCGGGATCTCTGCTCACATAAACTCAGGCAAGACTGCTCTGACCACCACGTGGAAGGATTACAAGGTGAGATTCTTCTTGCGGTTCTGTGAAATTTGATTTCTTCTTGCGATTCTGTGATTGTTGAATTCTTTTTTCAGATTCGCACCTTATGGTATTTAGTTAATTAGTTTCACTTGAACAGTATGAATTCTGAGGGAATGTTGAATCATGTGAGTATTAGCTCTTAGACTTGCCTTAGCCATTGTCTAATCTATTCGCGTCCATGAATTGCTACGTTTAGATATTATTGTTCTTTTACTTAGCAGTTTTGTCACTGTTTAACTTTTTTAGGCCTGCTGTATATATGTGCAGGAAGCTATTCGCAGAGCTACCATTGCACAAAAGTTTGTTCCTGTATTTATGGGCAGTGCATTCAAAAACAAGGTAATTGCTTCTTTGGATATAATGACACTGTGAAAGTTTGGATGGTATTTGTTTCCTGTTATCGTATTTATTGAAAAGTTTTCAACATTTGGCGTGTTGTCTGTAGGGAGTACAACCGCTGCTAGACGGTGTTCTTAATTATCTCCCTTGTCCAACTGAAGTCAATAAATATGCTATTGACCAGAAGAATGATGAAGAGAGGGTACTTGTTACAGTACTCCGACTTGCAACATTTTTCTATGGGAAATGATAAACCGGTTCTAAAAGAATTGAGTTTCAGGTTACCTTGACCGGGTCTCCTGATGGACCTCTTGTGGCGCTGGCTTTTAAATTTGAGGAGGGACGATTTGGTCAGCTGACATATCTAAGGTAAATGCTTGATCTTCCTCTTATTTATAGATGGGATGAATTTGTGAATAGCTGAATGCTAACTCATGTTCTTTTGTTAAATGAAGAGTCTACGAAGGTGTGATTAAGAAGGATGATTTCATCATAAATGTTAATACTGGAAAGAGAATAAAGGTTAGTCCATGGATCTTACTTCTTAGTATATTGTTTGAGATTTTTTTAGTGCTGTGAAGTCCCGTCCATAAATTCATACCAAAATCACAGTTTATTAAGTATATACTTTTATCCATGTCTGCCTCTTGTAAACAGAATCATAGATGCAAAATGTCTGAAATTCAAACTAGTTTTTCATTTCTTCTTTTTTTACCCTTGCTAGTAGCACATGTGTTGCTTGATTTTATTTAAAGGCTGTTTAATGTTTCTTGGTGCAGGTTCCACGCTTGGTCTCCGTATGCATTCTAATGATATGGAGGTAAGACATGTTGTTGGCTTGGTGGTAGTAACTCTAGTGGCCTGTCTAGTTCGATTCAAGAAGTTTATTTATATTTTTCAGGATATTCAAGAGGCACACGCTGGAGAAATCGTGGCTGTGTTTGGTGTTGAGTGTGCATCAGGTACAGTAGAAAATTCTCCTATGCTTGTTCATATCTTCTAACATAATTTGCTTCTTTGGGTGTGGAACATACTTTGGGGATGAAGTTCTGATATTGTGTTTCTTGTGGGGTCAATTCCTAACCTTGTTATATTATCAGGTGACACATTTACGGATGGATCAGTCAAGTACACAATGACATCGACGTGTGTTCCTGAACCTGTTATGTCCTTAGCTGTTCAACCGGTTTCAAAAGATTCTGGCGGACAGGTAAATAACTTCTGTGAACTTTTTAGGGAAAACAGCTTCTTATGTTTCCTCTAATTTCCGGCTTTGATAGATTTGCTATTGAAATCTGTTTTCGGGTTTTAGTTCTCCAAAGTTATGTTGCATTTGGACATTTGTGTTGAACAAACAAACAAAAAAGAATCCCTTCATCTGTTGTACATATCATATTGTCTTCTCTTCTCCGCCGTGTCCATGAGTAGCTCTTATGCAGCCTGAAACATGACACGGCTTCATATTGTTGTTTTGCAGCTTCTGAGGCCAGGACTCATGGAGTTAAGACAAGAGATGACAACTGCGAAGGTACACGTTTAATTTAACCCTTTGAAACATAAGCGCTTTAGCCTATGTGTTTCGCTTAGATTTTGTGGAACTTCATCAAAAAGTCATAAGCAGATTAAAAGATCTTCTTTGTCCCTTTTCTTTACCCTAGGCTTTATATCGAGCACTTGGCAAAGCTCACACAGCTCTTCTTTATTGGTGTGGGCCATTTTCCATTTTCTGATTTATCTATCATGTTCTTTTGCAGCGTCTGAGGCCACAGCTGGAGCAATTGAGACAAGGGATCAGCAATAAGGTGCTAAGTTATTTCCTGCTTCTTTGCGTGCATATGACCGTTTTGTGAGTTTTGTCTCTAATCTTGAGCTTTCTGTTTCGTTAGAAACTTTTTGACCTTTTCCATCCTTTTTTAGGCTAGGGTTCCTGAAGCCATGTCACAAGTGCAACCTAGTTTCCTATCTTCCGTTGTGGAAATCTTCACGGTTGGCCGACAAAAGAATCTTTTGCATCCTTGGGGAACTGGTGATAGCTTGCAATCAACAGGTTCAGGTATGGAAGTTCTTTTATTCTTTAAAATTATACTGTGGTTTCTTTTTCCTTATTCTCACCCCTCATTTTGAATGCGATTGGGGTAGGGTTTGTTATCAAATGCAGTGGAGAACTTAGAATAATCACTAATGCACACGTAGTGACCTGCGGTTCAATTATCCAAGTGAAAAAGCTTAATCTCGGGACCAAATTCAGACATGATTGCGACCTAGCGCTACTAAGGGTAGAGAGTAAGCAGTTTTGGGAAGACCTAGCTCCCTTGGAGCTAAGAAGATCACTGCCTGATCTATATGAGCCCGTGACCATTGCTGGTTATCCCATGGGTATGTCTTTTTAAAACTTTTTGTTTATTGATTTTGATACATCTGGTTCTTAAAACTTTTTGTTTATTTATTTTGATACATCGTGTTCTTTAAAACTTTTTGTTTTACAATTTCAGGTGGTGAAGCTATATATATCACCAGTGGTATTGTATCAAGAATTGATACCTCTCGATACAGTCACAACAAGAGGACGCATTGTCGACTTCCAAAGCTTCAAGTAGATGCAGCCATAAACTCTGGAAACAGTGGCGGCCCTGTTTTAGTTGGAAACAAGGTTATAGGTGTAGCCTTTGAGGGTTTGAACGAAGGAGATAATATAGGTTACGCTATTCCATCGCGAGTGGTGGAGCTATTCCTATGGAATATCCAGAGAGGAGCGTCTGTTGGGTTTTGCTCGCTCGGCGTCTCTACACAGCATATGGAGAATCAAATGATGAGAGACTACTTCATGATGCAAGAGAACATGACAGGCGTACTTGTTACCAAGATCCGTGAGCAGAACACTGAAGAATTTTTGAAGTGCGATGATGTGATTCTCTCCATTGATGGCATGCCCGTTCAAAACGATGGCAAAGGTTTGAATTAATCTTTTATGTGTTTTGAATAATCTGACTTATGGTTTTCTGAATTTATTTTGTCTTTGCAGTTTTGTTTGAGAATAGGTTATGGATTGATTTTTCTGGATACATAGCATTAAAAAAGCTTGGGGAAGTAGTCTCACTCAAGGTTTTGAGAGAGGGTGAACTCGAATGCATCCCCCAGATGCTAGTGACGGTAAGACATGTTGTTGGGCTCTTGTTTATGCATCAACTTTCTGCTAATGCATCAACTTTATGCTAATGCATCATCAATCTTGTGTAACATACAGATGGAGTCCTCTTATATCTGTGATTACCATCCACCCAGTTATTTTGTACTGGCTGGATTTGTTTTCACAGAAAGCATCTATGGCGTGAGGATTTCTGATGTGTTGGAAGGCGAGATCAACAAAGGGTATACGTCATTCAGAGGTAAGGTGGTAAAGGCCGTCAACGGATACCCCGTGAAATCTCTACATCGACTGTGTTGGGCGATAGCAAAAAGTGATACTCAATATCTGAGGTTCAGGCTTCAGGGGGATCTTGTAGTTATCGTGAACCTACAAGAGCACAAAGATTCTCATCATCGTCTCATGGATAATCACAAGGTAGTGCGCGGAATGTCCAAAAACCTTGAAGCAGCTTTCCCTTTTCTGTGACTCTCTCTCTCTCGTTTTATTCTAAGTGAATCTTTAGCTAGTTAGTATGGTCCAACAACTGACTTGAGTAGCACATGTGACCTGCTTGCTAAGCTGGAGCTGAATCCTCTCTTATTGTTCTCTTATTGTTCGTTGAGTATGGGATTGATTTTTTTTTTGTTTGATCCATCGATACTTTGTTCCTTACTGATCTTAGTTTCTCTTTACCGGGTTTTTCTCTTTGGCTTTTCAGTTTCAGTTACGAAACCGCTCCTTCTTCCTTCTTCCTTACTTTTATTTTTATTTAAAATGGTTGATGCGCATCATTAAAATAAAATAAAATAAGTAAACCATTGGTAATGCATGTTTATGTGCCACCGATTAATCAATTATTGGACACCAAATCCGCACCCGAATCCTAACTTTATCTTTTTTTTTCTCATGATGTATCCACAATGATTAATATGGGTACAATTCATGTTTCATATCCGCATGATTTGTTACGAATAATAGTCGATTGCCAAGAATTTCAGTAGTTATACTTAAATACAACCGACTAACAATTGATTCTTTGGAGTATATGAATCATAAATTTATTTTTATGTTTCGTTTTTCAATACTACCACAAATTTGTTCATGTAGCATTTAGCAAGACTTTCCAGCCATTTGTGAAAATTTTAGAAAAGCTTCATATATTAGAATTGTGATTTTTTTTATTCGTGCTATTATTTTTAAGAAAATGTCTTTTGAGGTTTCTATGAAGTTAATATCTTGTCGATTCATTGTTTAGACAAATGATATCATATGGACCGTCCGATTTCTTCCGCCTCTTTAATATTTTTTTTTTTGAAATATCAGTTTCTAGGCTGTGATCATAATTCGAACGAACGACCACTTTTCATATTTTGGTGGAGAAATAATCATAGCCACTCAATATAACCTTTTCTAATTAATACTGTTCATTTTATAAAGCACAAAATGTTCCAACAAAATAAGAAACTGTAAAAGGTTCAATAGTTTCAATATTGTTTTTGGGTAATTTGATTTATGTGTAATGTGTATATTATAATTGAGATTCGAAATATGGTCCTCGATTTTTTTTTAAAACTTATTTCTTCTCAATCTTAAGATAACCCGTTCCATCACACTTGATGTAGATGAAGACTTGAAGTTTGTGCAAAGTGAATGATCCGAAAAATCCAAAAACTGCTATCTGAATTTTCGTGGATAGGTATGGTCTGCACCTCATATACAACTAACGAATCGATTAAATATATATATAACCAAATACTACATTATCCATGGATGATTATTATTTATTGATTAACAAATACATTAGGATAAGGAAGCCAGAACCTTGTTTTGCAGAAAAATATATATTGATTGAAGACCTTAAGGTTATGCTAAATGTTTAAAATGTACATTAATCATTGTAATGTATTGGTCTGTTTTTCTGTTGATTTGCTTTCTTTGGTCGAGTGAACAAAAAAAAAAGAATTAAGAGAACTTTAGATATTTAACTTGCAAATATTTAACGAGATTTTGTGGTAAAACAGATGAGCTCAATGTCTTTTTTGTATATTTAGAATTTTTTTAAATGGAAAAAGGTATATGTATTATTAGACTTTCTTATGTATTATTAGTGTATTTTCCTACTCTGACTATGTAAAAAAACAGTACGATTTTTTAAACTATTCATATTGTAAAAAAAAAAATCATTTGAACTATTATTTTCCTAAATAAAGACAATACATGGACTATTTTTCAAGGTAAAAAATGTGAATATATGCGTTTTTTAGTTAAAATGTTAAATTCGTCACATTATAACAAAAAAACAAACAACCTTTTGTTTGGTTATGAGTTAAAAAATGACCTTAAGATTACCAGCAATCTTAACAAATCTAATGCATGACAAAGATTTTCTGAGGTTTCACAATCACGGGCATAGACTTAATTGACAACTCATTTCTTAATCAATGGATTTTAGTGTCTAAGTTAGACAGTCTAACCCAATGTTAAGAGTTCACATGTCTAAGAAATTAATAGATGACAAAATAACAGATTAACAAAATGTGTTTTTTGCGAATTGAAAACCATTTTCTTAAAATTCAACAGATACATAGAATCTATATTGCTGATACATATACATACAACATCAGTCTCTATAAATCCTCTCTATTTTACATTTACAAACATTTCAAGAAAACCCAACCGACAAGGTAATAGAAAGTCAAAGACCCTCAAAAGCAAAACGACAAAAGAAGAATAAAAAACCGAGTTCTTCTTTAACTAGTCTACAACAAAACTCGGGAAAATTGGTGGTGATGAAGTTTAGGATCTTGAACAATTTGTCTAGATTTGATTTCCTCAGCGCAACGTAATGCCTTCTCGATCTGGTAACCTCCTCCGATACTTACTTCTCTCTCAAGATGACAACAGTAACTCTCGAACACACTCACATTCACATGCAACTTAAATCCCATCAAGAACAAGAACTCAAGTTCCAACTTGTTCAAATCTTCTGTCTCTAATCCTCCTACTTTCGCAAAGTACGAGTTTCTGTAATTCCTGTAAGAAAGATAACGAGAATGAGTTTTTTTAAAAAAAAACAGAGGAATTTTCTATTTAAAGAAAGTTAATAAAACTTCAAACATTTTGGTAGGTAATCAACTTACATGTCTTCGACGTATTTGGAAGCGATCATGATGGTGGTGATGAGGAGACGATGAACATTAGTGAGACTGATTCTGAAACCTTCATTATTCTGACAGAACCGGTCAATGTATACATAAGCGACGACGTAAACCGATGGACCGGCTTTGGTATACCGGAAAATCCTCTCTAAATACGATTGGATCGTCATATCAGGAATTTCCCGGCAATCGAAGACGCGTGTCTTACCAAAACCACCGTAGCTTCTACTGATCCTCTCGTTCCGAGCTAAAGTCCGTTCGATCAGAGACGAGAGAACAGAGATTACGAGTGGTGTGTTGGATTCGTCTTGGTAAGAGTATGAATAAAGGTCTGATCGGAGCTTCCTCGGAGAAATCGCCAGAGAATTCGAAGACGCCATTACGGGAAGAAAATGGGTTATTTGGATGAGTGATGAAGAATTTGAAGAAAAAGATGAAACTGAAATGAATAAAGGGAAAGGGTTTTGAGAGGCTTCTTATATACAGTGAGTTAGAGAAAGATGGAGAAGAGTAGCTTTCAGATTGTAGGGCAACTTCCTCTTCTCTTCTTCTTCATTTTTTATATTTATATTTATAATTTTAATTTCGAATTTGTAGTTACTAGCGATAGTGTGTGTGTACTGAATATTTAATAGTATTAAAACGTAGCTCGTGCGACTACGAAAGTTCATGTTTTTTCTTTGAAACGTAACAATATTCCAGATTTGAATCTCTTTCGTCCAGATAAAGCAATTTAATTCCCATCTATCTATGAGAAAATAACGTTTTTTTTGTTTTTAGAAAGATCTCATTGTTAGTCTATAGTATTCGTTAAGCGAACTACAAGTCTACAATTAACTCTTAAGAAATGACTATATCATATCTGAATTCAATTTCCGGAATGTAAACTATATATAGTAGTTTTGTTGTGACATTACACATGAGTCAACTTTTAACCTACTTCAACACTTCAACTCAAACTGACTAACCAATTGAAACAATGAAGTCATAAGCTTCTTTCCGATTTTTTGTTATATAAACAATTATTCATATGTATATAGAGTGAGAAGATACACCAAAACTATTATATGGAATTTATCGAAAAGAGAATCGATATGGGTGTTTTTGAAGTGATATATAGAAGCTCGAGAGAAGCTATTATGTAATTGTTAAAGCTAAAAAGCAAAAACAAAAACAAATGTGTAAGTGCAACAGCTAAGCTTTTGGTTAGTTTTCTCATATTATAATATTTTATTCACACAATACTCGCAACTGAAATTGCAAATGAACCTACCCTAAAGTACTTGAAACAAATATAATAATACTGCAAAATTAAAGGAATCTACTAATTAAACAAAGGGAGAGAGTACTCCGCCGACAGTCTGTAGAAGACGGTGGAGAGAGAGAGATGTCAACTCAACATCGGTGAAACTCTCTGGTGGAGCCTCAAGGGTTTCGGTTGGGGGACCCACTCATGTTAGTTTTTTAACAAGTGGTTTTTACGCGTGTACTGTTGACAGACACACGTGTGACATTCGTCAACGTCGACGTCGCCAGCTTCCAAAGACCACAATGAGACTCACACACGTGTGGAGGTTCCATCAAAGACAACGCACAACATTACATTTTCTTTCTTTCTTCTCTATATTGATATATGTCACACGATCATATATATAGTTCTTCGTGTTATGCAATTAGCAAGAAGAACCAAGCTTTCGTACACACTTTTTTCTACACCTGCGCAAATATAAGATAAACCTCATTTTCGTGAGTCAACGTGTTGTGTGAATAACAGTGAAAAATGAGATGGAACTTTAGGCAGAAAGTTAAAGAGAGTCAAACTGAGGTAAAATAAATTATGTTAATAACTATTTATTCAATTTCTTTTGTTAAACTGTGGTATGCCAAACGCAATAAATATGTAACCATTTAAATCTTTCATCTTTATCAAATATCTGCTCGACAACTGCAACTCAAACTACAAGAAAGTACAAGTTTGATATTAGGGTACAAGTACATGGTAAAGAAAATAAACTTGATGATCGATGTATTTATTTCCCATGTGGTAAAAGAAAAAAAGAAAATATATTTAAAAATAGATAAAAGTGGAGGGACAAAATAAAGTACAAGTAATAAATTGAGATAGCCGAAACGAAGCTACCGCCACCGCACGAATACGTTTGATAATAAATGCAAAAGGAAGGGACCCGAATTGATTTTCCTTACACAAAATATATCGTCCCGTCAAAAACTATTTACCACATCATCATTGCCTTGATTCAATTATTATTTTTTTCTTATTTATTTGTGTCTCCCCCACCTTATTTATTAGATTTAACATCATATTTTTTCCTCAATTTATATATTCACATCTATGATAATCAATACAGTTTAAAAAGGAAGACTACAGTGTGTGTCATTATCGATTATACGAAATAAATATGATATACGCTCCACCTAATATTCAACACAACGAGTATTTAAAATGTGTTTTCACATGAAGATCGAATGGAAATTCTGTGGTTGTAAGAAAGATATTGTGGTCCATTTTTTGTTGTTGTCAACAATACTCATTATATCAGAATTAAATCTACATCACTTTATAGTAACATAAAGACGACACTAAAAAAAAAGATGATATGTTATGTAATTATGATTTTAGAAACTAGTAATAACCAATATAAAAACGTATACACTATTTTATTTTTAACTTTCACCAATTGTAATTTTAGTTTCCATCAGCCAACACGATTTCGATCACGATATTTTAAAAAAAAAGTAAATACAATGAAATGAAAAAAAAAGGAAAACAAACATAACGTTTTTGCTTTATGAGAATAAATATATATATATATTACACTGATTGATTGGAACACATTTATGAAATTTAGATCTTGGAGTCGATCGATATGTACGAAGGTAAAAAAAAGTACAGCAGTATTTGTCGACTCAGACCGTACACAAATTGTCAGGCTCCATAACTTATGCCCGATAGATATGCATCATTACACTCTCTGATTTACATATCTGTCTCCATCTCGAGATTCGTGTTCGAGATCTACAAAAAGATGAATTGCTTTTAATATCTACGTACTTAGGTACGTACCCACGTACGAAACTTCTATCATCATCCTTCATATTTTTTCCTCGGTTTCTCCCCATTAGTTACTAAACGTAAGTAACAAATATAATGCAGATTTTGATAAAAACACATAGTATGAGACTTTATTTTTTCATTTCAAATTACAAAAAAAAAACTTTTAGAAAAACAACTTCAACCGATAATGGAGTTGGAGTGGGTCTAATTCTGCATTTAGTTGGCAGATATTTTGTTTATCGGCTTTGATTTTGTCCTTTGATTTAGGAAATCAAAAAGTCATAACATTAATTTGCCTGTTAAATCACACATTTCACTTCGGTTTTTTTTTTATTGTATTTTTCTGTATGACCTACCAATAAAGTAAATGATTACACAATAAATCTTTAGATTCATTTATCGGCGAACTTTCTCCGTACTTAATTATTTTCGTCAAAACCATTTTTTCTTGTCATGCGCAAAATTGTGGACAAATAATAACTTGTTCCGACTCTGAGTAATGCTGATAGGTTTTAGTTTGGGCTTTTTGGGCCTGGGCCTTATACTATCTATCTCCCGGCCCTGTCAGAAACGCGCTTCTAAAAAAGCTCTGATAATTATGCTGAGATGGCTTTATTTCATTGGCTTATACAATATAAAGTGCGTGGCGAAAATAACCCGTCTTATAAAAGGTTTGAGTCCGGTCAACACCAAAGGTCCGAAAATCTCTTTCTTCTCGCATTGTTCTCGTCGACATCAGAATTTCTAAGCCAAATCAGGTATCGTATTTGTTTTTGTTGCTGCACGATCTTTTTCTCCCGTATATTTGTATGATTCCATGATATTGTGACTGATGAATCTCTTGATGAGAGCGTAGTAGATCTAATTATGAGATCTCGATGTTGAATCCGAGTCTCGTTAATTTACAATTTTCCGATCTGATTCTTCTTTCGCATGCTTAATTTCCTGTCGCATCTGAGAAATTTATGGACGGAGTAGGCAGGATTTTTGCATGTTCATCGTTATATAGTTTTCGATGTTGAATTGGCCTCGATATGTTTGAGAATTTCGCATTGCTCATCTAAATTTTGTCTTGAATGGTTCTAGTTTTTTGCAATCCCAATGTTGAAATCGATAATCTGGTTTGGTTTGAGAATGTTATATTATCACTGAATCTCTTAAAATGCTCATTTTCGCATAGAATCCGCAAATATTGATAACAAAAAGCTCTCTTTCTAAGGAGCACTCGTATATGTTTTTGTTTGCGTTGGCTCGTGATAACAAGAAGCTTGGCATGTAATTTGGGGGAATGAGGCTAAATTAGAATTCTTATGTAGCAGCTTCTTTAGACCTTTATGGGAGATTTCTTTGCATTAGATAATGTGTAGTACCATGGAAAAACGAAACACAACTTCAACGAATTGTCTAACTTTGTACACCATATCGCAGTTAGTAAACAAGAGCAGAGAAGAATGGTTGGTGGTGGAGCTCCACAGAGAGGAAGTGCAGCTGCAGCGGCAAGCATGCGTAGGAGAAAGCCAAGCGGCGGGGCTAGTGGAGGAGCCTCTGGTGGCGCAGCCGGATCCATGCTTCAGTTCTACACCGATGACGCACCGGGTCTCAAGATCTCCCCTAATGTTGTCCTTGTCATGAGCATTGGTTTCATTGCTTTTGTCGCTGTCCTTCATGTCATGGGCAAGCTCTACTTTGTCAAGTGATGATGATATGAGAGAGTGAGATAAGGAGGCTTGACCCAAAAAGAGGGATTAATAGTTGCAAGAAAATATTCTTAAAGTTACTGCTAGAGATCAGTATTAGACAATGTTTCAGCTCATGTTTTAATTTTGTGGAGTATTATGACTATCTATAAAAAAAAGTTGCAGTTTCACTATTCTTCATACTAATTTTTAGCTCAATATTCTTCATACTAATTTAAGGACAAACCTTTTATGCATCTTAAAGGGAAAATTTATCAACAAATGATGCTTAAGACGCCTTTGAGGAAATTTTTAAAGCTTATTCGTTGAATAAATGAAATTCACTAAACTAATGGAATGTTAATTGGGAGTTTATTGAACAATTAAGAAATTAAAAGGGAAACATTGGAAAGTAAATAGAAGTTCAGGGGCTTAAGTTGTCAATAAAAAAATTGAAACGGGGCCCGATTTTTATATTCGGGTCATTCTTCCATCTTCCGGGTTTTCCTAAGAACTTTGAGCGAGCGAAAGAGGTCGCAGTTTCGGAGAGAGAGCTTTTCTGATGGCAACTTCGGGAGAATCATCTTCAGAGATGGAAGACGCGCAATCACCGGCGATTCCACAATCCTCACCGGAGAAGCCTCTGATTTCTTCGATTCCAAGTGCTAAGATCGCAACGACGACGGTGGAAAATGCAGCTTCCTGGATCGATGATGCCCTGCGCCAGGCGCTTGTGTACCAGAACACGATCTTGGAGACGCTGGATTCTACCATCGACGCCTCCAAATCTCGATTGTCTCAAATTAGAGACACTTCCTTGGCTCACACGAGCCAAACCATCGTAAGCTTATCGAATCTGAAATTTCGCACCGTCTATTCTCTATGTCGTTCGAGTGATTTGTTTATCCGCTGAGCAAGTCTAGTGTTTGGGGATATAGGATTCTCTCAAAGACATTGCTTCTGAGTATAACGTTTACGAGCATATGGTGTTTGGGAAGATTAAAGGTTTGTTTACCTCATGTACACTATGTCGTCGTGACTTGATTGATTCTCCTCAGCTCATATTTTGTCAATTTGGTATACAGACGGTGTGAACGTTGCTGCATCTCATCCGCTAATATCAGGCACTTTAGCTTTTGGGGTTGGGATTTTTGCTCTGAAGAGTATGTTTTTTTGCATATTCTTTTCTCCCTATTGTGTTCAATCTCCTAGGATTATCACTGTTTTGATGACTGCTATGTTTTTTTTGCAGAGACGAGAAGATTTGTATATCACAATACTTTACGCATGTTCTTAAGCGAAGAGGTTCAGTGTTGTTTTGTAATCATCGTTGAATGTATAAACTGCTCCTTCCTGTGATTAAAGTTGTTCTACAGTCTTTGACCCAATGTTTTTGGATTCAGGCTTTGCTTTCTAGAGCAGATCTTAAAGTAAAAGAGTTACGACAATCAATGGACCGTCTTATAGCCGAAAGCCAAAAGTTAGAGGTAAGCCTGTTCTCTCCTTTCAGAAATTGTTCTTTGCAACATGAGGTTTTCGTTTTTGGAGGAGACTTCCGATGTATGCAGTTACCCTTTATTTTGAAATAGAATGTTAGGTGTTTAGTAGGAAAATTGAAAGTGTTCAGCTTTCAAGCAGAGAACTATCTGTGTAGTCTGTGTTAGGTGCATATAATGTTTTAGATACATATGTATCATTCACTGGTGAAGCAATTTAGAACAAGGGTTTTTCGTGAGTCTAACTCTGATTTTTGCCAATGTACATAAGTTATATGTGGCAGATATATAGCCTTTAAATATTAGTTAATGACTCAATGTTCTTCAGTAATAGCAGTCTGTTGGAATCGATTATTGGATTATGGCATTAGATTTCTTTATGACTTTAATTTTTTTCAGAGAGTTGCAACTGTGGCAGAAGATGAGTTGATTAGAGGACGGATGAAACTCAGGTTTATATGATCTAGACAAAATATCATTAATTTGGATATGTATCCAACATAAATGTTATGTTAACACTCTCTCTATCTTCTTACTCAGACAAGCCGGCAAACAGATTCAAGGTGTGGTCCGCTCAGCTTATAAGATTGAAAAGCAAGCAGCAGGTATGTTTCATATCGTTCTGTCTTAAACTCCCACAGTTTGTTCAACCAAAGAGATGGATAGAACAGATGAAGTAACTATCCCCATGCCAAATGTTGTCGACTTATACAGACCACTATTGATTTGTATATGCAGGTTTAAAAGATGTACTTAAAGAATTGCCCACGAGAGAAGCTTCACGATTCCGTTCTCAAGTAAGTATACTCATCTCTTTGCTCTTCTAGGTTATAGAATAGAATATAGGAGTTGAATTAGTTTAGAATAAACCAGTAACCATTTACATATAAACTGTGTAATGGAGTTGACTCACTTGTTCAACCTCAGATATCAAACCGTGCTTCTGAAGTAAAGCAAGAGCGAAACGCTTTGTCAAAGGAAGTGAACAAGATCAGCAACTATGGTATCTCCGTCTGAGGAATCACCAAACTCCATTTTCTAGTTACAAAATTTGATTTACTCTTGGAGGAAAATTACAGAGACAATAATAATGTCTAAAACATGCTTAAAACTCTTTTTTTTTTTGCTTGGCGTCAAATGCCAAAGATGTAATCTCTTGTTGTCTTGTGTTTAAATCAGCTGTTTGGTTCGAATTTTTATTTTGCTTTTTGAGGAAAAATAGTTATTAGATTGGAACCAAATCCAATATGATAAGTTTTGTTAGGGCTTCAAATTGGGTTTTTGCGTAGATCATATACCTTTAATTTGAAGCCTTGAAATAAATTTTCTCAATCAGTTTTGTAGAAAGTATTAAGCCTCAAGATTTCACTTTTGTTTGGTGTTGATCAGTTCAGTTTCACGTAAATTGAACACCTTTACTTTGTGTGTGGAACTCGAACAAACCGAACCGAAAATCAATGTTGAGTAAACCGGGATTTAGGACTCTACGGTCGGTCTACCTCGTCTTCTCTGGTTTGTGATTTATATAATAGTAATAATAATTCTGGTCGAAACGTGCAGTCGCAAAAAGGGTGCAAGTGGATAATATATTCAACTCTGAACACTGACGCCGTTTATTGTAAGCGGAAATTAATGTACCGTTTTCAAATTCATCCTCAATAAATGATTAAATCATTTCAAAATTTGAAGAAAAGAAAAAATATTAACGTAGGAGAAAAGGCAAACCAAAGTTTTAATTTTTTTTAAATAATTAACAATTAATAATGAGGTTGATTTTAGCAGAGTTTGATTTCAACACTAATTTTAGGCTCCCATCGTCGTCGGTCACGTGATCAGCGCCACTAGTATCGCGACACGTCATCATCATGTTACTCCCCCAAACCCAACCTCGAAGAAGAACAAAAAAAAAAAAAAAAAAAACACAAAAAAAAGTGACGACGGGTTAAAACGGCGGATGGTGGTGGTGGTGGTGATGGTGAAGTTGGACTTGTGATGGTTGTCTCATAACCTCTTTCTGCCGTCGAAGCTCCATGACTTTCCGGTGAGAGTTGGAATGCTGAGTCAAAACGAAAGTAGGACTCGAAGCCGGTCTGTATTCCGGTACGAGTCTACCGGATTTAAACCGGACTCCACAGGCGTTGCATAGCGTCTTTGGTCCGAGTGGTCCGGTCCTCCACTGCGGCGTCTTCTCGGAAGCACAGTGAGTGCATCTCCTCATCCCTCCTTCCGCCGTCTCGGCCGTCGTCGCTTGGTGTCTTCCTCCTCCGCCGGAGTGTTCTTTCTTAGGCTTCAATTTCCCGGCGATGTGAATCTCCTGGTCTGATTCCGGCATCGGCGCCCATGTTCCGGCGAAAGCAGCTGGAGCTCTCGACCGTTTGCTTCTTGGTTTCCCGGGAAACGAGGTTTCGGTTTTGACGCAAGTCATGGTTCCTCCCAGTGGATTCGCCGGAAAATCAGCGAAGGAATCGTCGACGAATTGCGAGAGCCATTCCAGGTGAGCAGCGTCGTCACTCTGCAACACACACACACACAAAAATGATGAAAACAAATTAAAATAAAATAAAATCTCCACAAAATCAAAGCGAAACTTGGAATCGAGAAGAGAGCATACGGGAACGCAAATGTCGTGGAGGAAAGAATGATCGGCAGAGGAAGGGAGATGGTGGTGGTAATTAGGGTTTTGCGGAGGAGGGAAGGAAGAGGAGGAAGTAGCGGCGGTGGAAGTGGAAGAAGAGGCGGAGAAGATGTCTTCGTTGGAGAAGTCGAGAAGGTCGTCGATTCGAAGTAAGTCTGATGGTGAAGATAAGCCATAGACGTCCATTTGGTAGTGATGATTGATGATCGGCTGATCTCTCTCTCGCTCTGATCTTTGCTCTTGCAGACTCTGACTCTGTCTCTCACACTCTCTAGAGTCTGTGACTGGTTAGAGTCTTTAATAGGGAAGGTGATGATGATGTTAAAGAGAGAGAGAGAGAGAATAGAAATGAGGGCAAGAGAACGTGCAGAGAGAGTGACCATGCACCGTGAGTGACCGACTCGACCTATTCACTTCTCAAATCTCTCTTTCTTTTTTTCTTTTTTATTATTATTTATCTTATCCGCCTTTTACCTAATTCATAGAAAACAAAACCAAAATGAGTGAAAACTACGCACTTACTATTAGCTCCTGCATGAAATGCTCAAAAGTTGGCATACATTTACTAAAGTAAATTTTATATCATTGGCAATCAAGTATCACAAAACTACTATATGAATTTGGGAATGTTATAAAGAATTATTGAGAAAATTAAGAATTTAAAGTTTAAACTGGTTTACAGAGTTTGTTAAGTAATCATGTATTATCCTTGATATATAATTTGTTGATCATGGTGACTAACTACAATTGGAATTTCAGTGAAAAAAACTCGTCTTTAACATGTCGTTACATATCGAACTCTCACTCTCGCACCATCATGAGTTCATTTTGTATATATTCATGAGTTAACCTAACCTGACTTTATAATTCATATTTTGTTTTTTTGTTCCTTATAATTACAAAAAAAAAAACAATTCTTCAGTCATCATATATGTCTCTTTCATTGCTTCTGTACTCATATCATGTACGTATTATGTAGTGGGTCTATTTATTCTCTGTGTTCTTTTTTCTTTCAAATATATAAATGATGATAATACGCATCCGTATATGAAACTTTGTTATTTTTGCTACTAAATCGTTTGTTATAAAGAATATGTCGATTAAATTTTAGAAAATATTTATGTATGCATCGACGACCCATGCAGTACTGGTAATTTGACATTTTGCTCCGCTCATGTGCGATAAAAATCTTGATCAGTTGTTCAACTAAGGAGAGTATCAGAGTATACATCGATATATATAGATACTTAAATTATGAATTTTATAAGCTGAAAAAATATTAAAGTAACTTCCCCTATAGAATATATTCTGCAGACGAATAATGTAAGAAGGCCAATTAGTCTTAATTATTTGATTTTACCTATTCGGCGGATAAATTATTGATTAACCTAATTTTACCTATTCTTTCTTAATCTGTTTTGTTCTCAAATACTATATAACACATGCTTTTGTGGTACGTGCCGACAATTTAAGTCATTGGCATATCCTCACACAAGTTCTAAAGATAAATTTATTTTTAATCTTTTACGAAGAAAATAAATAAACGAATGAATAAAGGAAAAGGTAATTTAGCCACGTGTCTGCATGTGGGGGCCATAAATATTGAAAAGAAGAAGAGTAATAATAAAAATAAAAGAGTATATATAGCAAATTAATCATAATATTTAGTTGGAAACCAATGTTATCTTAATATAAGTGTGAATTGAGGTTTCCCTGCAAAACGAGAATTTCAGTACTCCAGTAACTATTGATTTTCACGAAAAAAGTAATATTTTCCCATATTTTTAAGATTCTACACAAAATTAAGTTTTTAAAAATAAAGAGAAGGAGCAAGAAACGGGCCGTGTCGTGTGATGCTTGCTAGGGTTTTATCATATTAAGATAAATATAGTATATAACAAAATATTTGAATTATGTGAAATCAAAATTAGTTTTTTTTATTTGATACTAACAAAGTGACTCCCACAACGGCCCAACCCCACTGCACATTCAGCATTAATTTAACACGATGGCACGGAAGGAGAGGTACCCATATGAGATATTTGTTTTTTTTACTATTTATTCAATTAAATTTCACTTACTACCGACAGTGTCTTTTCCAGCTGGCACCTTCTACTTGGCTCAGAAGGTTCACTTTCGTACACGGTACATTCCCATGTTAATAATTTTTTACTATTTATATCATTATTTATCAAGAAAAAATTAGATATTTGCTGCAATAAAACAGAGTTATATATTCCCAAAAACGTAAAGAGATAGAGAAAGATTGTTTTAAAAAACTAATTCAAGCAAAGTACATCGACGTACGGTCGCACTGCCTGCTCGTTAATCCTCTTTCTCGAACGGAGTCTCTCGTTTTTGGTCTTATATTAATTTTTTTTGCAACATTTACAACAAAAAAAAAATTGACTTGCGGTTGCGGATTTGATGCCCCCGAAATGTTGTGGTCTCGTGACTCTAGTAGTGGAAGTAAGCAAGTGACCACTAAGAACGCTCGTACCTCGCATATATTAGTATTATTATACATGTAACTACGAATATATATGACATTATTGATACTATTATATACTAAACTTTTTTTTTTGTTTATTCTTTTGATTTTTTGTTTTCTTGAATCACGTGACGTGACAGAGGACGGTGATCCCAAAGTAAACAGCAAGAACACGTGCGGCCTCATGTGCCCATAATGACACCGAATATTATTATATGAGTTTTATCTCAACAACACTCGACCTATTTTTCTAAGTCGATTTTAGAAGGAATAAGTTACATTATATATATACTGAAAGAAAATAAGTCGTCTTTTTGTTTATATAATATAATCCCTTCTGACGAATAACATGTTAAAATGATAGACCATATGCTCTTCCTTTATCCCTCTTGTCCCCTTCTTTTATTCAAATTAGTTTTATTAGAGCTTTTTTTACAAACAGAATAGTATCTAATTAATTTTACATTTATCAAAAAAAAAAAAAACACCCAAGAATGGTGGTAGTGTCAAATACGTAATTCAGATAAATCGGACTCAGCGGTTAATGTTTATGAGTAGACGACTTAAAACTTAAAAGCATACATAGAAAAAATAGCGTACATATTACAAAACGAGATATAACGTACAAGAGATTTGTCTTTGTGACAAAACAAAAGAAAGTTGTTCAGCAATAATTTGTCAAATGGACAATAGATTCTGCACCCCAATTGTTGGGAAATGGGAACCAATGAAGTTAAATTAAGATGATGATTTCTTGTTTTTTTTTTTATGAATAATGATTTAGATAGGAGAAAAAGAGATTTACACATATACACTATGTCTCCGCCAACAGAAGATTAATTAAACTCCAGAATATTGTTTTATTGTTTCACAAACAAGAAATTGATGATTTTCATTTTTTAAAGGGAGAATCGCAGTAGTCTTCTGCTCTTAAAATATTCCCCAATTATTTAGGGTTTTAATTTATAACCAACAACCCAAAAATGATAAGAGAAGAGAAGAAAGCGATTTAACCAGGCCGTACCGTTAATATGATTATGGGCCGTGGAGCCTACTTTCTGTTGAATGAGACAGCGACCATTGGGGAACGATATCCAAAGAAATTGTGTCGGAGCAATTCATTTTTTTTTTTGTATTTAAAACAAATAATTCACTCTGCATTTAGACAATTTTAAAGTGTATTTGTCATTTTGCGGTTATATTTCGCTGACAATATTGGCTTCTTCCAAACCCAAAAAAAACAAAAAGTATAATCGAATCAGCTTAGAGTTACGACTTCTTCTAAGTTCTAAGTAGCACATTACGTATAATTTTACAACGAACTGTGTTAGCTTTGGACCTGACTTGAAGTTACGACTTCTGTTGATATATTTCGCAAAACACCAAACCAAAAGCCAACCTAAATTTAATTTCAGCTCAGCATCATCGCTGTGATAATCTTATAAATATCCGTAGCCCATTTTTAATGGGCCTCGTTGTTTAAAAAGCAGACTCAATATGAATCATATATTATTCATGTTTACATGATTCTTTGATTCTATACATTTTGAGATTTCTTGGAACTAATCCAAGACTAAAAAAAAGTTGAAAAGAAGATTTATATTCACTAACCTACAAATTAAGAAAACCCAGAACGAGGACAGTACTTAAAGTCGAATAGATAAGTCCTTCAGATCGAATCATCGTACCATCGGCTAAATTGGTCGAAGTTTCGGACGCAAGTAAACCACTTAAGTTGAAATTAGGGTTAGTTCCGTACAAAGACTGTACTCCAACGACGTCATCAACATTCAAATCTATTTTCTTACTTCTGGGCTTCAGAGTTGGATACATAGCCGCGTCTTTCACCGAGCTATGGCCCAGCCCAAGCACGTGACCGATCTCGTGCACCGCTACAGATTCCAAATCAACGGCCACAGTCGATTTTTCCTCATCGAAATCGACGGCCCACGTCTCTGCCTTGTCTAAATGAAGCCTACCGTTTTCCGGCGAGAAAGTGTGAGCCAAAACGCCTAGAACGCCGTCGAATGGCTCTCCGTCGCCGTGATCCCCGGCGAAGAATCCGATTTTGATGTCGGCGATGACGTAATCCTCTGTTTCGGTGAAGCTTACCGGGATCACGAAAGCCCACTTGCCGAAAGCGCGTCGGAACACGCGCCGTATTTCAGCTGGTGCTAGATAAGGTGTTAGGTTCTCCTGTGAGAAGGCGTACGTTAGCTTCAGCGGAGCGTCTCCTGTCCACCTGGGGCTTCCGGGGAAATACACGTATTTTCGTTCTGTGTGAAACGCCGTCGTTTTAGCTTCCACGTAATCAGGAAATCCACATCTTGGTAACCGAATATGTGACAACGTGTCAGCATCGGGTTTCCCGGTTATCGGTAGACCGAGATTTTTCTGGTAACGAGCGAGAGCTTGCTCGAACAAAACGTCGTCTGATTTGTTATTGTTGCTGCTTTGTACTTGGAGATAACCGAACCGGTGAAGGTGATGTTTGATTTCCGGTATAGCGACGTCACGGCGGGATGGCTTGCTCGTAAATTGAGATGGATTTCGAGCTTCGATGGTTTGTCGGCTATGGAGGTTGAGAAGGAGAAGGAAGTAGAAGGAGATAAAGACGGTGATCGGATTGCGATTGCATGGATGATGATGATGCATGGTGTGATGTTTTTTGGGTTGATATTGAAGTGGCGTGGAGGGAAAAGCTTTGTTATAAATATATGAAGAAGATGTTTTGGTTTAAATGGGTTTGGTTATAAATTAATTAATGGATTGTGTTTAGTTCAGTAGTATGTTGTTAACTAACCAAAACACACCAAATTTTGATTCGACAAGTTAAATGAAATCAAGAAAAAATAATATATGTTGACTGTTTTAGTTTAAGAAATACATTA